TGCCCATGCCTGCGTAGCTGCATCTCGCATCAGCCCTTGCCGGCGCTCGTCCCATCTGCGCTGGTCATCCGTTTTTTCTTGTTTCACCAAACCGGGCGCATTCCTTTTTCCTCCCGCCTTTTTCTTCGCAGCAACAACAAGAAGAACAAGAAGAAGGACAAGAAGGACAAGAAAGACGGCGACGACGACGACGAGAGAGAGCCGCCGGCTGCGGGCAGGATAAATACAATAAACGGGACCCATCAACCTGCGCTGACTCTCGCTGCTCCCCATTGTTGCTGGCCAGTTTGCTCTGATATAATGCCTTATTCATAAGGGCTCCATCCCTCTCTTCCAACAGCCTCGCCGGCCGCCCGGGTATTTCAAGAAACTGGGGACATAGCAACAGCTCAAGAGCCCTCTATCCTTCGCTTCTTCGCTCGATTGCCAGCACCCAGGTCGGACTCCATAACTGTGTCCAGCGTATTCGGCGTGTCGCAGTCGCACCGGTCGAGTTATTATTGTCGAATCTCCGCCGAAACGCCCTACAGCCAGCCAGCCGAACGAACGCCATGGCTACCATCTCAGCACCGCAGACCCCGAACCTGAACGGGGCGCAGATGGTCGACCCTACCCGGCCAGGCGAATATCCTATACTCCTGGGGGACAAGCTGGCGGGGAGGGATGGTGCACGAAGCCGCCAGTTTGTGAATGTGACCTACAACTACAAGACCAAGGGCAACACACCGCAACAGAAGACGACCATCTACCCGGCCGGAGCCCCAGACCGGTACAAGTTGACGATACAGAGCAAGGCAGGCAATGCAGAGCAGACAGACCTGACCTACGTCTACAGCGGTGGAGTCGACCCTGAATCGTCATCGTCGACCGCTTCAAAGTCCGAGACCAGCAACTTGGTCCTGATATTTGACCCAAAACGCAAGGCGTTCATCCTTGAACCGGTGTCGACCAGATTGAACTTCAACCTGAAATCGGCGCCGGGGAAGACGGACCGACAGGTTTCGGAGCAATACCCCCAATTGAGCACTTCTTTTTCCAATAACGACCAGGCTGCGGGAGATAAACAGGGGGAGAACGAAAGCGAAGAAGAGGATGTAGGACCGGCGGATGAAGAGAATCCTTATGACTACAGACACTTTCTGCCCAAGAAGAAGACAGAGCAGAGCAGCGGTAGCGGTGCCGGCAGCAAACAGAATGCCGTGGAAGCCAGCTCAGCGCCCGGCACTCCGGATCCTCACCAGGCCACGAGCAGCAGCAAACCTGCAGCACCCCGATCAGTGCCGGCAGCACAAGGACCAGCAGCAGCAGCGGCAACAGCAGCTCCTGCAGCTGCCAAAGCAAAACCAAAGCCCAAGCCGAAACCTGCACCAAAGAGTAAAGCCAACCCGCTCCGTCCTCCGAAACAGCGGAATCCCAAGGCTGCGTCGTCCGCTGCTACCGCAACTGCTAATACCACCACCTCCACCACTACTGCTACTGCTAGCAGCACCAAAACCAGCAGCGGGAATGCGAATAATGCTTCTACCAAGGCCAGGGAGCCGGAGGAACCAGCTGCACCACCCGTTATTGCTCTTGCACTCCCGCCCAAGCCAGAGCTGGTTGAGGACACCATCATTCCGTCTGTAGAGACGCCCGATCTGGTGGGAACGTACTCTGCTTCTGATGATGAGCCCAAGAGGCTGGCCGGGTCACCTGGCAGCAACATCATCGTGGATGGGGATCTGATCATCGACATGGGTTCCCCCCCACCGCAACGGCCGGCGTTCAAGATCGACCCTAGCCATTTTGCATCCAACAACACCTCGGCCAACGAGGCAGGCTACAACAGCGATGACGAGGAAGATGTAGAAGAGCCCCGACCGTCGTTCTTCGGCAGACGGCCAGTGCAGGAAGAAGAGGAGGAAGAGGAAGAAGAAGAAGAAGAAGACGAAGACGAGACGATGGAAGATGCCCAGGCTGCGGATCACGCGGATGGAGACGACGAGCCGGCGGACTTTGAAGACGATCTAGTGGCCGAGATGGAAGCGGCGCTTGAAGAAAGTGCCAGGGAGGAAGAAGCAAGACTGGCGATGGAGCAGCAACAACAGCAGCAGCAGCAACAGCATCGATACGCCAACCATGTCGAGAGTGAAGACGAGAGTGAAGTCAGCGAAGAAGAGTGAATCTGCATTGCCCTTGGATTGAGTAAGGAGTACTGTTTAGCAAGCTATCATTTTCATTTTACTACTGTGTATTGGGGGGGGGGTCTACCGGGCAGGCACCATCTGTTATGATACCATGGGGATAATACTGGAGTTTTCTACGGGCGTGTTGTATCTACTGACTCTCTTCTACTATTGACCATCATCTGCCAAACATATCAAATCAAATGCATCAAATATATCAAATATATCAAATATATCAAATTCTCCCTATTGACGCTTCTTTTGTCAATAAGCGCCCGCGGCGAGTGTTGATCACATGACAGCTCTTTTCCCGTCGAGTCCAAAAATCTTCCAAAAGACAGAAAGACAGAAAGACATCCTGAACATGCAACGCCGCCTGCGCACGATCAACAGCCTCCTTTGATGCCTCTACCCGTCGGTGTCGGCCTGTCTTTGCTGATACTGGACTGCCCTTTTGTCTCTGGACTCAGCGCTGGCCGCGACCTCCTTGCCTTCCCAGCAGTGCAATTAAAAACTACCAGCTCAAACTACCTTTCCTCGCGCGCATCTCGTCGGATACCACCAACCACTCCAGTCACTGCCTATATAGCTGCTGAATACTAATTACTTTACTTGAGATACGAACTGACAGCCACTGAGAGATACCGGCGCAAGTCGTCAAGCCTTCGCCATGCCGGTGCCGTCGGTGGCAGCAGCCTCTGGAAAGGAGGAAGCGCCAGCGCCGGCAGCGTCAGCATCAGCACCAGCACCAGCATATACAGCACCCACACCGCCGCCAGCAAAACCAGTGCCCTCGCCGTCTAATCCTGTGCTGGCCTCGAAAGAAGCACAATGGCTGTTCACCGACTCAGACCTCCGCTATACGCCCTCGCTGCTGGACGGCATGTCGATGGAGACTGAACACACACAACGCAGCAAAGGGGTGAACTTCATCACACAGGTGGGGATACTGCTGAAGCTGCCACAGCTCACGCTCTGCACGGCCAGCGTGTACATGCACCGGTTCTTCATGCGGTATAGCATGGTCGACCTGCCGCAGAGGCCCGGACGACACCCTTACCCGATCGCGGCCACCGCGCTCTTCCTCGCGACAAAAGTGGAAGAGAACTGCCGGAAGATGAAGGAGCTGATCGTGGCCTGCTGCCGGGTAGCTCTGAAACAGCCCAACGTGATTGTGGACGAGCAGTCGAAGGAGTTTTGGAAATGGCGCGACACGATACTGCACAACGAAGACCTCCTGCTCGAAGCGCTGTGTTTCGATCTCCAGCTCGAACAGCCGTACAGGTTGCTGTATGATTTCATCTGTTTCTTCCAGGTGCAGGACGACAAGCGGCTGCGCAACTCTGCCTGGGCGTTTGTGAATGACTCGACGTTTACGGTGCTGTGTGTGCAGTTTAGTGCGCGGACGATTGCGGCGAGCGCCCTGTATGCGGCTGCGATGCACTGCGACGCGGCGTTTGCGGACGACGAGCTGGGCCGGCCGTGGTGGGAGCAGATCGACGTGGATGTGAGAGAGGTTAGACGGGCGTGTAATCGCATGGCAGAGATATATGACAATTACCCGCTGCCGAAGCCAGGCCAGAAGTATGCCCCTGCACCCACGCCGGTGAACGGGGAGGAGGCGACGGACTCGACGAGGCGGGTTTTTGCGCAAAACGCAGGACGGAGAGATAGTCAAGGTGGACAACAGGTGAATGGGCGCAAGCACGAGCGAGAGGAGGAGCATGAGCCGGGCGAGATTGTGTCGAACGGGACGACGGACTCGCCGAAACGACAGCGGCGGGAGTCTGAGGAGCCGGCCTCACGACCTCGATCAGCGGTGTCTGTGTCAAGGTCACCGGCTGCAAGTGCAAGTGCAAATGCAAATGCTACATCTACATCTATAGCTACAGCTACAGCTACAGCCACCACGGCTAATGCTAATGCTACGACGAACTCTGGCGGTCGACAGGTCAGCAACTCTTTCACGAACGCGGCGTCGAATCTGAACCTGTCGTCTGCCAACTCGTCACAGCAGAAACAGGAGAAGGAGGAGGAGGAAAAGGAAGAAGGAGAGGCCGATGAAGGGGAGATAGAAGAGGGCGAGGAGCTGGAAGACGGCGAGCGAGAAGAAGGGGAAGCTGACCCTGCTCCTCCTCGCAGCAGCCAGAGCCGCGTTCCAGCATCGTACCAGAAGCATCTACACCAGCACCAGCAGCCGGCGCGCATGGAACATCCCCTGCCTCCGCCGCCGCCGCCGCCATCCCAGGCCCAATCGATACCCAGCCGCGAGCGTTGAGTTGAAGTGAAGTGAAGCCAGGCTGCTGGCACCATCAAAGCTGGAGTGACGACGAATATTACGGAGTCCTATTATTATTGAACCTTGGACTGGCCTGGCCTGGACGGACCGTAATCCAAACTAACTAACTGCTCATCCGCCCCGAATGCGCCACCCGCCACCCGCCACCAGGAGACGCAACTGAGCGTAACAGGCAGTGTTAAATGAAACTGGGTCATGTTGAATATGTTGTCTTATGTCTATCAAGCACGCTGCCGTCAACCGTGCAGCCAACTTTTTGACGGAATCCGGGGCAAAGAAAAAGGAGGCAAAGTTTACGATTTGACGAAATATCCAAAAGCAAGTTAGTGAAGCTGTTGAATCTATCTAGATGTACGAAAGAAAGTGAGACAGAGCGATGAATAAAAAGGAAGCATGGTTTGCTAGTAAAAAGGACGATGTGCAAATAGTCTGGCTTTTCCTTCCCGTTGGTCTTGCTTAGCTGCATGAGATGTAGGATGTAGGATGTAAGATGTAGTATATTTCTTTTCATGGGGGGTCAATCTAGGAGTAGCTAGCTAATGAGATACATCGATACAGACGATACTGGGCCGGACAAAGAAAGGGGGACTTTTTTTTTCTCTCAACGAAGCGGCGCAGTCGAAATGAAACAAGATAGACACGCTGAAAGAAGAAGAAGAAGAAGAGAGGAAGAGAGGAAGAAGAAGAGGTAGAGAGAAGCGGAGTAGGTTCTTTCTTTTTTTTTTTGTTTTCGTTTCTGGGGAGTCTGGTTTCTCTGCTCTGCGGCCAGGCATGGAGCAGGCTTTGTTGTAAAGTAGATATAGGATAGATAGAGCAGTTAAATGGAAAGACATGCTGGACATCAAATAAACACCGAGCTGCTGGAAGAAAAGGAAGGAAGAAAGTAAGAAGAGCGCCGTGACACCGTGGAAGTCATAACGAGTGTAGCAGGTAAGAGATGAGATGGTAAGTAAAACATGGAAGAAGAAAGGCAAAAGAATAAACAGATAGAAATAGGAAGAGATGCACCCCGTGTGTGTGTGTGTGGATGAAGGGGGAATGGGTTAGTAGTAGACTCGTGCCGTACGCCGTGCAGTATTAGATAGATAGTACATGAGCAAAGAAGAGTGAAACAGGGAAACAGGGACGGGGCGGAGGAGGAGGTATATATACAGGGGGGAGTAAAGTACAGTTAAAAGATGTATATGGATATCAAGAGGAGGTTAGAGAAGAGTAAGATGGGAGAGTAAGATGGGAGAGTAAGATGGGAGAGGTAGGAGGGTAGAGACTAGATGTCGGCAAAGATGGCGTCGAGTTCGTCGACTTCTACCGTCTCGGGGCTGCGAAAGTCGGCCCAAGAGTCGAGGGAGAAGCTGAATGCGCAGTCGAGCGAGAGCTGGCTGTACTGCTTCCGGGGGTCGAGATCGATGACGTCCAGGGGGAAGGACATGTCGTAAGTTCTCTTGTGGGCTCGCAGACGGGCCGTAGCAGGCTTGACGTCTTCGTCCGAGTCGCAGTCCGAGGTGGCGGTGGTGGTGAGGGAGAAGGAGATCTCGGAAGCGACGGAGGGCGAAGGCGAGGTGCTATACAGCATCTCGGGAGCCTCGGAGGGAGAGGTAGAAGTAGACGCGGCCGACGCAGCTGACGTGGTAGTAGTAGTAGTAGTAGGGATGTCGATGGGCCGGCTAAAGTAGTCGTCGTACTGGTGGTGGCCATACTCGCCCTGGTCGGAGGCAGCCTGGCCGTCGAGATAAGGAGAGGCGTCCATGTCGACCTGGAGATCGAGCGAGGCTGGCGGCGAATCAAGCAGGAGACCGCGCAACCTGCCTGCCTGGCCGTCATCGCCGGTCGTGCGCTCCCTGACCATGCTGGCGGTGAGGGTGAACTCGCGCTCGTCACCTTCGAGAGGCGGCGAGGCAGCCCGGTGGTTATGCGAGATGCGGTGGCCGTGGGAGTGGGAGTGCTGCTGCTGCCGTAGGGGCAGGGAAGAGGCAAAGGAGTCCGAGGCCATCATCATGTCGAGGCTGTAGTCGAGGTCGACCTCTGGACTGAGGCTCATCCTGGACCTGTCCTCCTCCTCCTCCTCCTCGTCGTCATCGTCGTCCTCCCGGTCGAGGTCCGGCAGCGAGAGAGACGGACAGGGAGTGACTTCTTTCTCGACCGAGGGCGAGGGCGCCGGCGAGAGGATGTCCTGGGAGGAGGCCGGCAGCGGCTGCCGGGGGGTGTTGGTCAGGTAGAAGAAGACCTTGCGCGGGTGGACGGGGATGAGCTCTTTGGCGATGGGACACGGCGCGAGGGCAGTCCACGGCCGCTTGAGGTAGAGCGACAGCCTGGAGGATATCAAAGCCGCCGCATTCGCAGAACTGTCTCTCTGTTAGTATTTAGATAGATAGATAGATGTGTATAGATAGAGTGAAGACGAAGCCGTGGACCTACTTGGCGATGGAGTCGGTGGTGGCGGAGAGGACCTGGGCAAGCTCCTTGATGAGATGCGGCCTGTTGCCGGTCCTTTCGAGCTGCTGGATGACGGCGACGACGATGTCATCGGCTATCCCGTCGGTGTCGATCTTGTTCTTCTGCGTCTTCGCTTGAGCATTCTCTCGAGCATCCTGAGACGACGACGGCGACGGGGGCGGCGTGAGTCTCTCTGTCTGCTGCTGCTGCTGCTGCTGCTGCTGCTGCCTGTCCGCGACCAGCCCGCCGTCCGCCTCATGCGCTCTCTTCTGCTTCTTCGACACAGGCGAGGACGGCGCTGCCATGGCCGTCTTTATCCCGTTCGTATTACTGCTGCTGTTACTGCTGCCTGTAGCTGTAGCTGGAGCTGTGGTAGTAGCTGTGGTAGAAGTAGTGGTTGTGGTGTTGGAGGCGCGGCGACCAGAGCAAGGGATGTGGATGCCCAGCGACGGCAGCGAGAGCGACTTGCGGCGAGTGTTGTAGCCCATGACGAGAGGCAGAAAGAAGGAGAAAGGAGAAGAATAAGTAATAAAAAAAAAAGAAGAGAAGAAGTAAGTAAGAGAAGAAGAAAAAGGAGGAAGAAGAAGAAGAAAGAGAAGAAGAAAGAGAAGAAGAAGAAAAGCGACTTTGGGAGAAGCAACGAAAAGGACGACGAAAAGGACGAAGAAGGAGGAAAAAGCGGCGAGCAAGAAAAAAGAAGGAAAAAAAAAAAAAAAAAGGAAGTAAAAAAAAGAAAAAAAAAGAAGAAGAAGAAGAAGAGAAAGTCGAAGGTTTTTCTTGCTTGCTTTTTTCTTCTTTTCTTTCTTTTCTTCTTCTTGAGACTAAGACTAAGCTTGAAGGGGAAAAGAGGCAGAAGAGACGAAGAGAAGAAGAGAAGAAGAAGAAGAAGAAGTTGATAAGAAAGGAGTTGGTGGTGGAAGTTGGCTGGAGAGAAGAAGGCTGGCTGGCTTGATGCTGGCTCAGGGGCATTACTTCTTCTTCTTCTTCTACTTCTACTTCTATTACTCTCTTCTATGACTTCTATCTTCTCTTCTACTACTTCTATCTTTATTGTCTTCTCTAGTATACTGACTGGTCGCCCGTCCAACGCCTCGTCTGCTGTAAGTTCTGAAGTTTCTTCTTCCTGCAGATACACTAAGAGGCAGTCGAGTAAATCCCTGCAGCGGTCCCAGCCTTAGCATGTATCACTATAGGCCAGTCAGAGGCAGGCTGATAGTCAGACAGGCAAGACCGGAGACAGAGACGGAGACAGAGACAGCAGAGACTGGGACTGGGACTGGAACTGGGACTGGGACTGGAGCTCGCCTGGTCGTTCGCTGGAGAGACGGGCAGCTCAGGGGCTCCATGCACTCCCCCCCCCCAATATATCACTTATCACCTCTATCAGCGCAGGTTCCTGGCCGGTGGCAAGATAAGACTTACTTAGTTCTTGCTGGCTCGAGAGGTCAGATAGACAGGTCACTCTTAGCCGTAAGACTTAAGACCTCCTCCTGCATAAGTCCAAGACCCTCCTGCATGCACTCCATCAGACTGCTCAGCTTCTGCTTCTGCTTCTTCATCTTCTCCTTCTCAAAACATACTCCCACGTCGTCCCCAGATGGTACCGTCTCGCCTCAACCACCTCCAGGCCGCTCTGCCTCACGATCTCGCCAATGTCCCGGTTCCACCAGCAGCCGTGGCGGTCGGCGTGGGCAGCGGCCAGCCCGTCCAGCAGTCCGTTGAGCCAGCCGTAGTGGCCCCGTCCATGCTCCAGCAGCAGGATCCGCCCTTCCTCGCCAGTCACCAGTAACTCTCCCAGATGTCTGAGCAGCTTGACCGGCTCGGGGTGCGAACACAGGCCCATCGTCTGCACCACCGTGTCGAACTTGGTGCCCTCGGGAGACGTGACCTCGCCCATCGCATCCTGCGCCAGAAAGACCACCTCGGCCTTGCCCTTCTCCCTGTTGCTCCCCATCGCCTCGTACTTCCATCTCGCAATGTCCACCATCTCGGGCCACAGGTCGATGAAGGTGACGCTGCGGCAGCCCAGCACCGCCGCCTTGCCCTGCTTGTCCACGCCCCGTCGCTCGCCCAGCATGTAGTACGGTAGATTGCGTCCGGTGCCCGCGCTGACCTCGAGGACGTGGCCGCGGGCGCGCTGGATCAGCTCACGGCGTCTCTTGCCCATTCGCATCGTGCGCTCGGCCAGGTCGACGTCGCTGTCGTACTGGCCCGCCGTCGTGCGGTAGCGGTCGGAGACGTCGCTGTCGACGGACAGCTTGCTGCTGAAGGCGCGCGCCTGGCGGTAGGTAGTGTACAGATAGCTCCCGTAGGCCGACAGGGCGAACATGCCCAGCGCAGTGACGGTCATCACCACGGGGCGGACGCCTTTGGAAGCGGCATTCTCAGTGGTCTTGGTGACATTCTCTTGCTTTGCTCTGCCTCCTGTCAGCCATTGCCAGTCAATTCGTAGTAGTATAAGATGTAGACGTCAGACGTCAGACGTACCGGCGTAAAGGAGGGTTCCTGGGCAGCGAGAGAGGCCGGCGAGCCTGCAGCAGCACTCGCGACGGGCGCATCTTTGTCTTTGTCGATGGAGAGAAGAAGCAGAAGCTGGCAGTGGAAGTGGAAGCAGAAGCTGGAAGCCTTTAGGGGGTCGAGGACGAGCACGAGCAGACTTTGCTGTTATCGATAAGACATCCTTGCTTCGCTGACTTCTCGACTTCATCAACTTCTACATCTACTTCTACTTCTACTTCTACTTCAATGTATCTACTTCTTCTCTTCCCTTCTTCTGTCTCGTATAGACTGCTGGACTCTGGACTCTGGACTGCTGCTAGTCTCACCGCTCCTGGCCAGCCCGCGCTACCGTCGCTCACCATGGCCGCCATCTCCACTCTCGGCATCTCGCCTGCCGCCGACTTCGCAGTGAAGACTCTGACGGCCAGCCTACAAGAAGACGCCAGCGAAGATATCCATCCCAGACAAAGGAACAGAAGATAGACTGAAGAGAGTCCAAGGTCAGCGCTGCCTGCTTTACTTACCACCGCTGTTAACATGTCTCCAGACCTGCCGGACCACATCCTCGTCGTCGGCGGCGGCGTCTTCGGCTGTACGTCCAATCTCCATCCTCCCCCTGTACTCCGTACTGTACCTCCCTCTTTGATCAGCATCAAGCACTGACATGATAACTCTAGTATCAACGGCTCTCGCCCTCAGCCGCCGTCACAAGGGCTCCATCACCCTGCTCGAGGCTGCTCCGGCCATCCCCAACCCTTACGGCTCCTCCGTCGACTCCTCGCGCATCCTCCGCGCAGACTACGCAAACCCAGCATACGCCCGCCTCGCCCAGCAGGCCCTCGCCCAATGGCGCTCTACTCCCTGGGGCCACGATGGCAGATACAACCGCAACGGCCTCGTCCTGGTCTCCTCCTCCTCCTCGTCGTCTTCTTCGGGTGACCACACGTACGTGCGCAAGAGCTACGAAAACGTCAAACGCCTGAACCCAGATGCCGTCGAGCTGCTGCCCACCGCCGCTGACGTCCGCCGCGTCGTGCCTGGATACGGCGTCGCTGCACACGTTAGTGGAGGCTACGTCAACTGGGACTCGGCCTGGAGTGACGCCGAGTCGGCTGTCCGGCATGCAAAACACCTGCTCGACCAGACCGGCAGAGTCACCTTTCTCTCAGGCCAGGCCGAACGCCTGATCATCGACCACAAGAACAACAAGAACAACAACCAAGACCAAGACCAAGTAACCGGCGTCGAACTATCAGATGGCCACCGAATATCTGCAGATCTGGTAGTGCTAGCTACCGGTGCATGGACCGGGAAGCTAGTCGATCTGCGCGGCAGGGCAGAAGCCACCGGTCACTCCCTCGCCTACCTCCCTCTCACAGACGACGAGCAGCGCCAGCTCAACGACATGCCCACCGTCCTCAACCTGTCCACCGGCATGTTCATCATCCCCCCGCGCAACAACGAGCTGAAGATCGGACGGCATGCGTACGGGTATCGCAATCCAGTGCAAATCAACCACCCCACCGCCCCTTTGTCTTCTTCTTCTGCTGCTACTACTACTACTGCTGCCCCCATAGAAGTAAGCCTGCCTCTGCATGGGGCACCCGTTCCTCTCGAGGGCCAACTAGCTGCCCGCGCCGCGTTAAGGGAGATGCTGCCTGCCCTGGCTGATAGGCCCTTTTCCAAGACGCGCGTATGCTGGTACACAGACACGTACGTCACCCTCTCTCTCTCTCTCCTCCTACTCCGTACTTCGCTATATGTTATTTTACTCCTCCCCATCTCCCATTTTAAATAAGTCTAACGTATAGTTCAGGCCCAAGGGAGACTTTATCATCTCCTACCACCCGGAAATTAAGTCCCTTTTCATCGCGACAGGGGGCAGCGGCCATGGATACAAATTCCTCCCTGTCCTCGGCGACAAGATCGTGGATGCCATGCAGGGCATCCTGGACTCCGACCTTGCTCGCTTGTGGGCTTGGACGGATAATCCGGTCACCACCCCTGCCGGTGGTCTCGGAGTGGTGTGGACTGAAGACGGCAGCCGGTCCGGCGCCAGGGGCATGCTGTTGGTCGATGAACTGGAGAAGAGCACCAGCATCAGCACCAGCCCCAGCAACGGCCCCAGCAACAGTCCCAACGATGGTGACGTGAAGGTGATAAGCAGGTTGTAGGCCTGCATAAGCTTGTTATCTGCATGCAGGCTACATACAGATTGGGACTGTCCGACTTCGCTGGTGTCTTGTGCTTCCTTGCTGCGTGATACGAACGATCTGCAGGAACCGTTAATTTATCAACGACTTTTTTTATTGTTCTCCAGCCAACTAACTGACTAACAAAGTAACTAACTAATGTTTACTTCTTCCTACTGACCTTCCTCCGGCTTCAGCTGGGTGAGTTGTCGGAGCGACCTATCTTTTTTCCTCCCCCCAGCACCAGGTTCCAGCGCAAGTCTTGTCTCGAGCATGAAACGAAACATGCGTCAAACATTAATATAAGTATCTCCAGCCTCTTATTGCTTTTCATGTGATATTACAAATTTACAACCAAGTCGATAGACGATGAATAATAATAATAATACAGAAAGATGAATGCATGACTGTCAAATACTTCAAGTTGAGTAGTTTTAACTATTGTGTAAGTACGTACGTATAGGAGGAAAACCGCCCATGCCACGGCATCTCTCGAGACAATCTAAGACGATAGCAAACGAAGCTGCTTGAGCCTCAGGAAAAGTAAAATAAAACAAGAGGAAAAAAAGGAACTTACTCCTCCCTCGCGTGAAGACGCTTCCTTTCGTTTCGTTTCCTGCTCCCATTTGCTCGCTCTCTTCGGGGTTGACCTTTACACCCCTGGTCCTGATCCGTCTCCGTCTCCCCGTCTCCCCTTGCCCCTACCACCCGTAAACTTTTGTGCTTAAGAGAATAAAGGGCCGCAAAAGCAAGTTAAAAAGACACACGAACGCACAGCAGGAAAGCAGGTAAAGGTAAAAAAAAAGGCAGGTTGAGCGTTTGTTGAATTCTGAATACGAGGACCGGGGTGGGCTTTTCTTTTTGGAACAGCCACTTTGATCAACTTATTTTCTTCCTGTCCTGTAGAATTTTTTTGTTTTTCTGCTTGCGTACTGGTGAAATGCAGTTGATGGAGTAAGACGTTTCACTGTTCCACATGCAATCACTTAAGTATGGTGATATGTTGCGAATCCCCCGGATTAATAAATATGGGGGGAAGGGGAGACGAGAGCGTAGTTGGTCAACATAGATAAAACGACCCCACGAAGGAGATAGCTGGTGGTTGCGTGAGGAAAAGGGAGAGGGAAAAATGAAAAGGAGACATTGACCGGCACCGGCACCTTAATGCACCCATCTGGTAGAAACCGTAAAGAAAAAAAAGTTGAGAAAATTGTGTAAAGGAGAAAATAAAAGGGACCTTCCATCTCTAAAAAAGGCAGAGAGGTAAAAAAAGGTGTGTTGATGTCCGGTTTAAGTCGTTTTTGTTGTGTTAGTCGTTGCCCATTAGGAGGCATTAAAAAAGTGATTTGAGTTGCGTTCTCTTTTTGGAGGGGGATATCCGCAAATAAACAAACCGAGTGTCAGGTCGCTAAAACGCCGTGTAAATGCAATGAGTAGTAAGAGAGGGGAAAAAAGGAAAAGAAATGTGACAAGGACAGGGAGTCGCAAGTTGTGCGTTTCGAGGTGGGTGAATGGGATAGATGGCATCATCATTCTGTTTCCACTGCATGCACCGTAACCATGACCTTTGCTTTTTGTTTGGAGATGAACAAGGTGTGAAACTGTTAATACAAGGGCAGCCGCTTGGTTGGGGCGTCAACAACGTGACTCAGACTTTTCTGAAATCTATTGGAAAGATGTTAGATCAGAAGATAGACAGAGGCAATGAATGATAGTCAACATACCAGTCAAGACGGGATATATCATCTCGAAAGCTTGATATATCTCTTCCCTAACCTTGGCGCCAGTGAGCACAATCTTACCGCTGACGAAGATGAGCAGGACGATCTTCGGCTTCATCATACGATAGATCAAGCCCGGGAACAGCTCTGGTTCATAAGAGCTGAAGTTGTGATGTCGGCTGGCCAAGCCTTCCAGACGGATCGGGAACTTGATGTCGCATGACCCGACGATGTTCTGGATCTTAAAGTCCGTGAACTTGGCATTGAACCCGAGTTTCTGGATAATACGAGCGTATTTCCGAGACGCGAGCTTCGAGTCGTCCTCCGACTTTGCGCCGGTGACGACCATCTTGCCGGATGCGAAGATCAGGGCAGTAGTCTTGGGTTCTCGAATACGCATGATCACGGCGGCAAAACGCTGTTTCCGTCAGCAAACCCTTGTGCTTCATTCTCAAACCACAAATAATATATATATTTTTACTTGTGTGTGAAAAGAAAAAAGTAAACAAGCGACTTCGCCAGCACCAACCTTTGGATTGTACTCCGCGTTTCTGGCGTGGAGGGCGATGGTCTTGAGATCCAGTCGGCAATCAAGGTTGACGGTAGCAACGATGTTTCTTCAGAATGATAATTCTTGCTTCAGCATTCTGGTGGGCCAGAAGGGCAAAAATCCACGGGGAGGATGGTGGGTGTAGACTTGATTGTATACGACACCACCCTCCCTTGCAGATACGTTCCAAAGAGCAGAAGATCATAATGCATAAGAAAACAAGGGGGAAAAAAGTTTACTCACTGCAATGTTGGTACTATGCCACTCACGCCGGGGCCAGCTCCGGGTGTCGCAACGGGGGTCGCAGGCGTACCACCGCCAGGACCGCTGCCGTTAACATGCTGAGGCTGATGAGGCTGCTGGGCGCCGTTGGCCTCTTTCTCAGAGGAAGACGGAGGAGTCAGTTCGCCAGCACCACCTGGGAACGACAGCGAGGCAGGCGAGGTGAACGCCTTGGCCTGCTGCGCAGTTGCAGGATGGGTCGTCAAGGAATCCATGATGGCGGTCTCCGCTGACGTTACAAAGTTATATCGAGATCCTCGATGTACTGTCTGTTTTGGGTATGGCTTGAAGTTGTTTTGATGTTGTTGTTTTGGTAAGCAACAATGACAGTCAGGTGACCAAGTTGATCTATTCAACCTAGGCAACTGCAAGAGATTAGTCAGCATAAGACCCCTCAGCAGAGACATCAACATCAACAGCAGCAACAACAGGGACAACAACATGGGCACCAACAGAGGCGGACAGCAAGGTGTTTTGTTGCTGGTGAAGCGAGGAAGGAATGAGAGGGCTCTTGCGAGTGGTAAAAGTGGGCCTACCGTAAAATGAGAGACTTGAGGGGTTATGGGAGATGAACAAATGAATGCCTCCCCCGGAAGATGATGATATGAAGACTACCACCCGAACTGGCGCAAGTCAGCGATGCCATGGTGAGATGATGGAGAAGAGAAGACGAAGCCAAGATAAACAGAGGCGAAGATGGAGCATCAAACATGGAGCATCAACATGAACATCAAATAAACTAGCTACCTTTTGGATACGCAAGAGAGTACGGGAAGATCTAGTGTATTAGTAAGAGAGTGTGTGGTAAAGGAGCGGTGGGCAGGTCGGAGCCGCAGCGCAGGACGCGGAAAAAGAGAGTAGCGGCGGGAGAGAGAGAGAGAGCGCGCGCGCGAGTCGCTGAGATAAGCAGGCAGTGCCAAGAAGGAGATGAGGCTTCTGGTTGGTGGGCTTGGGGGGGCTTTTCTTCTTCTTCTTCCGTCGCTGAGTCTCTCAGTCCGTTTCGGGGTTCGAGCAAGAAAGTGTCGCGAGCAGGAGAGCGAAAAAGCGGGCAGAAAAAGAGGAAGAGGCTGTCCCTTTTATACTTCTTGCCTGCCGCCCTCCGCCAGGGCCTCGGCCCACGCACTCCCCCCGCTTAGCGCCACGCACGCCCCTTAAAAATTGCTTTTGAAGGCGTCATGGGTGGGGCTCTTGCCTAAAAGGGACTAGCGTCTGGCCAATCACTGCCGATAGCCTGCGTCTTGGCGCGCTGCTTCGCCTGCCTTGCCACCCCTTTTTTTCGCTGTTGCTCGTTGCTTCTTTTGCTTCACTACCACGACTAAAGTGACAAAGAAGAGGACAGCTGGACAAGAAGAAGAAGAAGAAGCAGTGAAGCAGTGAAGCAGTGAAGCAGTGACAGCCAGTGGTTGCTGTGCCTGGCGGAGTCCTCGCGTTGTCGTAGTGGGCGCGCCGGCAGTGGCAGTTGCTGAGTGATAGGCAGCAGCCGATCGCAGTGAAAGCGCGCAGCAGAGTGAGTGAGTGAGTGACTGGCCAGTGATGAGTGTCTGTATATCCCCCAGCAGGCAGCAGAGTGAAAGAGGCTAGCCAGGTTCAGAACCAGGCGATGTGGTTGCCCGAGGACAGACTCGCTTTGTGAGACCGTGGACGCGTAAAGCGAACGGAGGACGCGCTGCGCTGTGACTGTGACGGGGCCAAGCAGGTACTTCTTACTCCAGCTACAACTCTGCTGTATACGTACCTGTGGTTGACTTTGCTTTCTTTTCGCCAAAGCCAAATATTATTATTACGTGGAAGTTAGAAGCAAAGAAAAAAAAAAGGGAAAAAGGATGTTTCGACGGGGAAGGGGGGCTGCTTATGTAAGGGAAAAGTGAAACTTGGGCCGAGGATGAAGCGCTGGTCACGGGATCGCCTCTTCCAGACAAGGCAAGTTAAGCGATGACCATCACCTGACCGCTGACTGGCTGGCTGCGTCGGCTTGCCTCGGCTTAACTTCCCTGCCGAAGGTTCCGCCCAGCAGCTTCTTTTCTTCTCTTTTCGGAAGATTACCTCCTACGCCTTCGAAGACGGAGCATCGTGCCGACGACCGCTGTTTTGGGGCCACGCAGTTTGACGAAACAACGCCGGTCTGGGATAGCTTCTTCTTCTTTTTTTTTGGTACTGGATAGATACAGGATCAGGACAAAGGAGACTCTCTGACGAGCGAGCACAGCAATGGCCTCCAGGTCTGCGGTGCTGCCGTTTGCCTTTGCGCGCAGGGAAGCTTGCTGCGCCGCCCCCGCATGGAGGAGGGCTACCCCGAGCAGAGCTGCTGCTGCTGTTGGTGGGCTCTCACAATACTCGACGAGTGCGCCGGTGAGGAGGAGGGCGGTGCAGAGATGCATTGCGGGACAGAAGACAGGGTTGGCGAGGTTCTCAGGTCAGCAGCAGAGATCCTTCTCGCATGCTCCAGTCAGAAGAGACGAGGAGCAGGAGTCCCGGTTCCGGCCTGAGGACATCCAGAGAGAGTCGGATGAGGTAGACGTCTGCATCGTCGGTGGAGGTGAGTCAATGGACTGAGACGATGGATATATATATATATATATATATAAATGTTTGAGCGGGAAATTTCTAACAAGTGAAAACGTAGGTCCCGCCGGTCTATGTGCTGCCATCCAGCTAAAAAAGCTAGCCAACGAAGCTGGAAATGAAGACTTCCGTGTTCTGCTGCTGGAGAAGGCCGGTGAGATCGGAGATCACATTGTGTCTGGAAACGTCCTACAGCCCACGGCCATCAACGAGTTGCTACCGGACTGGCTGGCCGAAGACAACCCAAACCGCTTCGAGCACACCACCCCAGTGACGACAGACAAGATGCGGTTCCTGACCGAAAAATACGCCATCCCCATCCCGGCACCTCCGCAGATGAACAACCATGGCAACTACATCCTCTCCCTCAGCCAGTTGTGCAAGTGGCTTGGAGAACGCGCAGAGGAGCTGGGCGTGGAGGTATACCCCGGATTCGCCGCTAGCGAGGTTCTCTACAATGCCGACGGATCCGTCAAGGGAGTCGCCACAAACGACGTAGGCATCGGTCGAAACGGTAAACCGAAGGAGTCGTTTGAGAGAGGGATGGAGTTCCATGCTCGCGTGACTCTGCTCGGCGAGGGCTGCCACGGCTCCCTGACGAAGAAAGTGATGAAGAAATTCGACCTGCGACGGGACTGTCAGCCACAGACCTACGGCATTGGTATCAAAGAGGTATGGGAGGTCCAGCCAGAGAAGTTCCGCAAGGGTGAGGTTACGCACACAATGGGCTACCCGCTCCCCAGAGACACCTACGGCGGCTCGTTCATGTACCATTTCGGTGACAACATGGTCTCTGTGGGTCTAACCGTCGGGTTGGACTACCCTAACCCCTGGCTATCGCCCTATAACGAGTTCCAGAAACTAAAGCAGCACCCTCTATTCCGCAGCGTGCTAGAAGGCGGCCAGTGCATCGCCTATGCTGGCCGAGCGCTCATCGAAGGCGGCTTCCAATCAATCCCCAAATGTGCCTTTCCCGGCGGCGCCCTTATCGGAGATAGCGCAGGATTCATGAACGTGCCCAAGGTCAAGGGAACGCATACCTCGATGCTTTCGGGCATGCTCGCCGCAAAGGCCACATACTCTGCCCTATCTGGCAATTCGTCAGATGGCACCATCTTCCTATACGAGTACGAAGATGCATTGCGCTCCTCGACCATCTGGTCCGAACTCAAGGAGGTACGCAACATGCGTCCATCCTTCAGTACTCCACTAGGTGTCTACGGCGGAATCATGTACAGTGGTCTAGAAGCCTACATCCTCCGCGGCCGCGTTCCCTGGACACTCAAACACCACAGCACAGATTCCGCTGCCACCAAACCGGCGAGCGAGTGCAAGAAGATCGAGTATCCAAAGCCAGACGGCGAAGTCACCTTCGACATCCTCACCAGCGTGAGCCGGACAGGCACCAATCACGAGGAAGACCAGCCCGTCCACCTCCAGGTCGCTGACTGGGAGAAGCACACGGCCGACGCTTGGCCGAAGTGGCAGGGTGTTGAGAACCGCTTCTGCCCTGCTGGCGTGTACGAGTATATCGAGGACAAGGACAAGCCACATGGTGTGCGGTTCCAGATCAACGCCCAGAAGTAAGTTGCACACACTGCCCATCCCCCGTACCTCTTTTCCTTCTTCCCAATCCCCTTTTCTTTTCCCTCCTAGTGAGGCTGGCGTGAGGCGGTTGGCGTTTTACCGGTCTGCTAACTCGTCGTCTTCCTATTCTAGCTGTATCCACTGCAAGACGTGTGATATCAAGGTGCCTACCCAGGACATCAACTGGCAGACCCCCCAGGGCGGCGAGGGTCCCAAGTACTCCATCACCTAGGCTAACCTAGGCTAGGTTGCATCCTTTCGTCCTTTTTTTTATTATACCTGAAAAGAAATAGGATACCACGCATTCAATTATCGTATATACCAGCCATGTACAGAATAGAGCTATCATAAATATAAACAGCAGAATGAATGAATAGGGAAAAAAAGCAAAAGCCCTCTTTCGTCGCCCTCCTTGCCCTTCTCTCCTAGCTATCTAAACCGGAACAACGAAGCAAGCGTCGGGTATCACGACTCTCGCTAACTGCTCCCCAACTGCTGCTGTGTGCATGTTCTCGCCGTCTGTGCCTGTGTTTCTTAATAGTCGGTGGAGCGGAAGCCAGACCACGTGAATGGCTTGAAGGCGCTCAGTCAGCTTTTTAACTTCTGGCCTTCTTTTCCTCCCCTCTCGCTTCGCCGTCTTCCTTTCTTCCTCCAAACAACAACAACACCACCGCCTCCTCTTCCTCCACCACCACCACCAAGCCTCCCTCTCTCTCTCTGCTCTCACAGGAGACGTTGTCGTTCAATAAGCAAGGCCGTTCTCCTAACCCGCTTGCTCCTCAGGACCTTCACCATGAGCGAAGTTTCCTCCACCCGTCTCTATCTCGGCAATCTGCCCCGTAATGGTACGCTGCTGGTCTTACTCCATCCCATCTCCGTCACCGTCTACCCCTCTTGTACTGGATAAAATGGTATTGGTATTGGCAGACTGTTCTCTATTCCATGCAGACTCGATGAGTCTTGTTGCGTCCGCCTCCAGGACTCGGAGGAAGAGGGGGAACATGGGGAATACCAGTATATAAACAAAGTCACGCCTACATGGAATGGAGGAAACAACATCCAGAGAGAAAAAGGGCCATGCCATATACCATCCATACTGTTGAATGATACTGCTGTTTCTCCCCTCTATGCCCTATCCTGGTTCACAACATCTGAGATAATCATTAATCTACTCCGGATCTTGGTGGCCTATACAGCTGACTCAAAGGGGCATCTTTTCTGCCTGGATATTCTCCCTCCAGTCAATAAACAGGACATCGAAGAGCATTTCGGCTCCCACGGCACCGGAAAGATAACTGAGATCAAGCTGATGCAAGGCTTTGGCTTTATCGAATACGAGGATGCTATGGACGCAAAAGATGTCGTTCCTGGTGAGGACACCTCCATGGTCGCGTTTACTTTTCCTGGATCCTTTCGTTTTCTTTTTTTTCCCCTTTGTCTTTGTCTACTTTTTTTTTTTCACTACTCTTGTTTCACCTTCAATCCGTGGAACGATGCCGTGCTAATACTGGAATCCGTCTTTGTGCTCGTTTCTTGCTCTCCAGCTTTCCGTACGTGATACACTCCTGCTTCCACTCCCGTGTGAAGAAAATTGAGACATAAGTTCATTGGTTCCATGCCATGACTTAATACTATGACCAAGAGTCGAATCCCATCTAATGCATTTTAGATGGTACCGACTTCAAAGGTGAACGGCTCACGGTGCAATTTGCGCGTGGGCCACGGCGTAGAGAGCCATTCCCTGGGCCTCCCGAACGGTCTGCTGCTCCTCGTCCACGACGAACAATATACCGTATGCAGATAACTGGATTGCCTGAAACCAGTTGGCAGGTTAGCTAATGCCCGATCCCGCTTCTCCCCTCCATGGACCTAGTGGAAAATTCGAAATTTGCCATTTAAGTTCCCTTCATCCCCATGTATCAGCTTTCACCCGTGTTCTTTGTCGAGCTTGTGCTGGATTCGTCTCCTTCCCTCTTGGTTGATTCATCACACTTCCAATCTGGAGAGATGGCCAGGTCTGGCTTCAACCTACAATCTCAAATTGGATAAAAAACGGGACGTGGGAGGCTTATACAAACACCCTCGTTTCCAGGACACTAGGACTCACGCATCATACTCTTTTTAGGATCTCAAGGATTTCGCCCGCCAGTCAGGACTCGACGTCGTCTACTCTGAAACCCGTGACCGTGACGGGAAAGGGTTCGCATATTCCCCTCATAACCTCTACTCTTCTTCCCGAACCAACAACCTTCCTTCTTGCCTCATGGAGAACTGACCAGGCATGACCTATGTTTCAAAGATTTGTTGAATTCGAAAATGGCAACGACCTCCGGACTGCCGTCGAGAAATTGGATGGCACCGACTTCAAAGGCTCCCGAGTGACCTGCACTGCGGACGTAGGAATTCACCACCCTTCTTCCCGGATTTGATGACATGGATTTCGCAGCTCAACTTTACATTTTTTCTCTCTTATATAGATTCAACCCCCCATGGAGGACCGTGTGCCCAGGGATCCATACCGTTCCCGCTCTCCTCGCCGTGGCCCCCCATATCCGCCAGTTGATGACTATGACAGACGAGGCCCACCCAGGGGTTATAGCCCTCGTGGCCATTACCGTGAGCGCTCTCCTCACGGACGCCGTGACTACTATGACCGTGACGGATACGGGCGCCGCTCGCCTCCTCGCGCGCGTGTAGATGACTACCCACCACCACGCCGCCCATACGATGACCCGTATGACATGCGCGGTGGTGGTCCTCCCCGTCACTATGACGACCCGTACATGGCTCGTGGGGCTCCATTTGGAGGTCGGCCACGCAGCCCACCTCGTGGGGATTATGGAGGCTATGACCGCCGGGGCGGATACTGGTAGACTACTCTCTTCCTTTCCTTCCAGTTTCAGCTTTTTATTTCGTACTTCCCTATCATTTTTGCATGACCCTTCCAGAAGAGGCTCCTTGTTTTTTTTTTGCATCGGAAAAAGGGAGAGAAGAAGAGAGAGGCTGTTTTACCCCGTCCTCCGTCTTATCCTGATGCTTATTACTCCTTTTTTTCAAAGAGAAACAACAAGAGAGAAAAGGGTAAGAATCTACCACCGACAATAACGTTTACCACCAATACCCGATGACAAAAACGAGCTTTCCTTTGCAACCAAAAATACCAGCTTCAGCCATCCCGCCAGCCAGCGAGCCAGTCAGACCACCAACCAAACCAGAGCCGGTCATATTTCTATTGACTTTGACGAAAAAAATACCATATTTTTAACTTTCAAGAAATTGCGACAAAATTCTCACCTGTTAGCTAGACGGATACCCCCTTCCAGATCGTGCCATGCAAGCAAATTCAGCAGCTTTTCGGATCCATCTCCTCGGTAACCGTTTTCTCCCCCATTTATTTTCCCTTTACTATTCTTTTCTCCTTGATTTCACTTCCAGTATGACTTTCACAGCGTGAGTGGTTATCTCGATCTCGTAGCGTTTGGAGGATATCTGCTGTATGGAATGAGCTCAGCCTTCTTCTCTTTTCCCGTCTCATTGGCCATCGGTCTGCCTAAATCTCTGTCACCATGATGATGATGATCAACCCTTAACTCGAATTTCTCAGCCCTCTACCTCCTCTAAGCTGACGGCCATATATTTTTCTGATTTCGTGCTCTTATCCTTTACAATCTGCCTATGTCAATGACGTTTCTGAGTGTTCAAGGTGGTCATTTTGGGCGGGGGGGGGGGGGGGGGGGAGAATAATATGATGGATGTATTGTCTTTCCGAACTTGCCATGAAACGAGTTTTCCGATGAGCTTTTTTTTTTAGTTTCTGAGAATGTTTTAACTGAAATTCGGAGGTCTTCATGACAGTTATTTTTATGTATTTAAAGTGCTTTGATAGTTACTTGAACGCGCCCACCAGGAATTGTACTATGTTGAATCCTCCATTTTCATATTTGGTAAATATACGCATAGATCTTTTTTAGTCCTTGAGAAAACACTAGCATCGATATAAATCTTTGTTATACTATCCAAAGTTTATCAACCTACAAACATGCCATACAGCAGCAACATATCAAGAACCATGGCCGAATCAAGGTGTGACTACATACAACTGCGCGATGTCCAGCTTCCAGTCCCGGTATACTTTCAAACAGACGCCTGGAGACGGACTAACAAGCCGCAACCAGCGACTTTCTCTGTCCGAATCTCCTACCCCGCTGCTCTGATATCTCTCGCTGCAGAAAATGACACAGTCGGCCACACCCTCAACTATGGGACTCTATACAGGTCAATCGAGTCCGCAATAATATCCAGTAACAAAGATACCATTCCCGATGAGAATGCAGGCGATCCATCTACCCGGTCCTCCTACAGCAAGGACATAGTGGACGTTGCCCTAACAATAAGCGACGCTGCGCATAAAGTCCTCTGGTCAGAAATAGGCGCTACGGAACGTGATCAAGACGACGCTATATTTCAGGACCGCTGGTTTACAGAGAAGAAAGAGGAGATAACAGTGGACCTGCACCTTCCCAAAGCCATACTACGTGCTGAACGGGGGTTGTTTTGTACGCTTGTTACGCGCAGGAGGCCTGTCAAGGAAGAGGATAATTTTATGGATTTTGACTTGACCGTGAGAATCGAGGGGATACGATGTGCTTGTATCATTGGGGTGAACCCTCACGAGAGAGAGGATAAGCAGATCGTGGAACTTGCATTGACTTTCCGACGGGTTAAGGGTAAGACACATATGATACCGAAAGAGTATCAGACTATGGTCTCCAAGGTAGCTGAGGTGAGTTTGCTCTCATTTGAAGTTGACTCTTGTACATGTATATGATGATACTGATATGGGTGCTGCTACTTAAGAGTGTCGATAAAACCTCGTATGAAACGGTTGAAGCACTTGCTACGCATGCGGCGAAGATTGTGCTGGTGGAGTTCCCGCTCGACGAGGTGACGGTTAGAGTCGAGAAGCCCAGCGCCCTGGCCTTTGTAGCGTTTTCTGGCCTCGAGATAACGCGCGCTGCCAGCTTCTTTGGCGTCTCTCGTCGGCCTGCATAATAATAAGTACAGTGCCTTTAGCCTGGTCTCTTTCTACTTTTGGCCATTTTTATATCAATGTCATGTGACATTTAACGGATTAAACATTAGCCGAACTTTGTCCTCAAACTAACCAATCAGCGCGTGACGATTTGCTGCATGTGGGTGATTATCTAATCTGATTTTTTGTTGATGCTTCGATCTTTTTTCAACCTCAAAAGGCGAGAAAGAAAGAGATTCACAGAAAGGAGAGACAAACAAACGACTAATTGGATATTTATACATATACTGCACTTTATTGACCACGACTGCTACATCTATGGGCCTGTCAAGAAACTCGCTACATATCGATCCTGTTGTACTTGGCTCCGGCCTAGTATCTGTTGCCGCTTCCACTATCTCAGCCTTGGGTGATAACTTGTGCGCAGTTCCAGTGGCCCCTCGACAGCTCAGCATTCTCGGAACAGAGGTGGATAAGGTGGTTTGGCTACCGGTGAATGGTCCGTCCTGAAAAAGGGCGGACGGTAAACTTGAGGATTAGCAAGCGGAACAGTCAAGGACATTTGCGAATACTGTGAAGATACTCAAGAGTGTGAAAGGGCCATTCACACGGCCCGGAGCCAAAAGGTGAAGATTGCCCTTCAACATACCCCGTGGTCAAAAAGTAGATGCTAATTGTTTGCTGTGCAGTGACTCCAATCACCGTTAGCCACCATCCACCCTCAGCAGGTCACTGCTGCTGTGGGAGGTATATATATCTCCTTATCGCCGTGTCAAGTTAGGAGCCGTTCCTAAAAAACAAAGAGCCCACTGTCTTTCGGGCTACATGGCGAGACAGGTTCTGGAGAGTGATTTGCTATCTCTGCATCGTGCGGAGAGTAATAATTCTTCACCACGATGGCAACCTCAGGAGGAATTTGTCGTCTCTGACGTCTTTATGCCCCAGACGCCTGAACCTGAACAGGCCGATGAAGCAGACCTTGGCCAGTCCTGGGCAACTGTCGTTAGCGAGAAACCGAGTACCACGAGCAACTTCCGTATGGTTCCAGGCGATGTGAGCCCTATGAGACCGAACCCTAAAAGTGGAGGCCTTAATCCCGTGAAGAAAAAGAAGAATAAAAAGAAGAAGCTGCCAAAGGAGACGAATGCTGTCTCTCATGTTGTAGAGGCTCCTCAGCCCGGCTCTGAGACGCCACCGGCTTATTTCAAGGACGGTCGTTCCTCCATCTCTCCACGGCTTCGCCCAGTGGGTGCATTCAAAAACAATTTTGAATCCAGGCCTCCTTCAGCACATGGTATTAGTGCACTTAGCCTTCAGCTAGACGCACTCAATGTTGGATCTGCCCGGCCTTCGGGTTCTGAAGCTAGTAAGAAGGGATCAGAAACATCAAGTTGCGGCAGTGTTATCTCGGAAAGCGACCACACTGAGATTCTGACGACCTATGAAGTTCCACTGGGAGACGACTTCGTCAGCCTTGACCTGAATAATGAAGGACCCAAAGCAACGGATGGTTCCGAGAAGAAGGCCATCCTTAACCGCAAGATGACCGCTTCTGACTTTGACTCACTGACCTGCCTTGGAAAGGGGACATTTGGAACCGTTCTTCTCGTCAAGCAGAAGGCTAACGGGGCCTTGTATGCACAAAAGCAGTTTCGTAAGGCTTCCCTTACCGTGCATAAGAGGCTGGTGGAACAGACCAAGACGGAAAGGGCTATTCTAGAGAGCGTCAACCGACACCCATTCGTCGTTAAGTTATACTATGCATTTCAAGACCATGAGAAGCTATATTTAATCCTGGAATACGCACAGGGAGGAGAATTATTCACCCATCTCGCAATGGAGCGTATGTTTTCCGAGGAAACGGCTTCTTTCTATATGGCGGAAATGGTGCTTGCTCTTGAACATTTGCATTGCAACGTTGGCGTTATCTATCGCGACTTGAAGCCCGAGAATTGCCTGTTGGACGCGGATGGCCATCTTCTTCTCACGGATTTCGGCCTAAGCAAAGTCGCCGTTGACGATGATGACCGGTGCAACTCTTCCCTCGGAACCATAGAGTACATGGCACCAGAAGTCATCATGGGTAAGCCTTATGGCAAAGCCTGTGACTGGTGGTCTTTGGGAGCCTTGGGCTTTGACCTCCTCACCGGCTCGCCACCTTTCAAGGGTAACAATCATGCCAAAATCACAGAAAAGATCTTGAAGCAGAAATTGGCACTTCCATACTTCCTTGGCCCTGATGCAAAGGACCTTCTCACGCGTCTTCTTCGCAAGGAGCCACAGAAACGCCTGGGGTATCATACATCTAAGGACATCCGCACTATTAAATCGCATCGATTCTTTAGAAAAATCGACTGGAAGGCCTTGGAAAAGCGTGAGTTGGAGCCTCCAATCAAACCTGTGGTGACGGATCCAGCTCTGGCCGAGAACTTTTCCCACGATTTCACTTCGCTACCTCTTAGTCCTGTCCTAACGACTAAGTCTGGGCCATTTTCAAATGCCGAGGACGCAATGGATGTTGACGGCGAGGGTGCCACTGATAGCGAAATGGGAGGTATCCAGCCTTCTGAGGACCCTTTTGGTGGGTTCAGCTTCGTAGCACCGAGTAGTCTCCTTGAGAGTGGTCTTGCCATTGGAAACATGAAGTGGTAGATTGTCCGAATCAGGCGACGTGAGATAGAGTCGCAAAGACTGATGTGTCTGCGGTCCAGGCATATTTTCCCCTTTTGATAGATTTTTGTTAGTTCGAAGTGTTATTTGTTGTACCCCTATTTGGGGATTGTTTTGTATTGTTCTCGTTTTGTTTTGATTGATATAGCCAACTATTGTTACCAAGAAATTGATGTTTTCGAACCGGGAGTAAGCCCCTTTATATGAGCTTCTTATATTACGTATGGAGTTCTTGCTATCAAAACCGTCCAATGGAACCTTCTAGCAACGTTACTAGGCTACACACCGCAAGCGGGAAACGATAGCGAGACTAGGGCGAGAAAAAGACCAAGAGTTTGCCTGTTGAATGTAATTGGTTGAATATTTATCTCTATCTATTGATACAAGGGGTATCCGCTTAATATACAAATGCCGATGCGCCGAATTCAATTATGTCATGAGGAATATATTTTTGCTGGATGGTACAGATTTCAAGAGGCTAGAGTCTATTCAGGCGACCTCTTCGCTGTCGATAATGGCGTTTCCGTCAAATGGCCTAATTTTCGTGCTGGATGTCCGTCAAGTTCCCTATTAATCTCTCGAAAATCAAGGCCAAGACGCTCATATACCCTAACACACCAATCCAAGACACTGTTGACACTGTCCGCAGGGTGCTTTTGCGAGGTCAATGGTTGAGCAACAAGATAGGCAGGATTGTGTCTAGGCTGACGGGGGGAATTTTGCTCATCGAGTGCTGCGTTAGCGATAATTCGGACCGTTGTAAGATCTGGTACGACCAAGGGAGTCCTTTTAGGATAGATGGACCTTGCGTTGAAAGGGAGGTCGGTTCGTATCCTTTGTTGCTTGCGGTCGCGAGATGCATCAAAACTCAGCAACGGGTCAATACAAAACTGATCCCATAGTCGTTTACCAGGTAAACAGCCTTGTGTGTCGACAATAGCAGCTAGGAGCTGGTTGAAGGCGCTAGCAGGAATGCGGTACTCAGGATCATAACGACGATCCCACTGCAGCTGTACCTTGCGGCAGGCATTAGACAGCCTGCCAGGAATAGAACGGAAGACATGATGTAATCGATTCAATATAGCTTTAGAAATGTTCGGGTCCTTGGAATAGCTGTAGTGCTGGTTGAATTTCCCATTCAAGAGGTCAACTAGAAGGCTACATGCTAGTTCCAGAGCTTCATCTTGGTTTTCGGCAGGTATGGAGTCAGAGCTTGATATATCCGTGCTAGACGGCCGACACTCTAACCGTATGATCACTGCTGCAAGAGACGTTATGTTTTCAATATCCCACTGTGACAGCCTAATATCTCGGAGATAATGGAGAAGCTCTATAGCACCTTTGGAGTCACATTCCCCAATTCTCCAATTCAACAAGGCAATCAACGTCTGGCGGCGAAGCGGGCGCTCAAGTCTCTTAATGGTATTGGAATAGAGTTCGCGGTTTTTCGTTGCAGTTGCAAGCCGGATCAGAGAGTCAGTAATAAGAAATCCTTCACGGGTACGGGATGTTGAAACTTCCAAAGCTTTTGCACAGGTATGCGTTACCCAATCTGCAAGTCGATACAACCGAGAGGAGGCTAGAGTATCAAGAAGCAAGGCCCAGGAAACTGGCGGAAGTTCAAGGTGCTCGGATTGAGCTGGGGACCGGGCAATTCGAGACCGGCTAGAAGCCGTTTGATGAACCCTGTGTGCCATGACCAGGTACTTTGGATCTAGAACAGATTCACGCATCTCGAAAACCTTAGCAGGATCAACTTCTCCCAATAACCGTCCAAAGATATCGACTGTGCCTGAGGCGCGACCACTGGATGCATATATGTTCAACACATATTGGTACAAACCTAATACTACCAGAGACTCAGCGGGCTTGTACTCCTGGAGGCCAACATTTTCATAACCAGCCTCAGGGGGGTTTATCGAATGTTCTGCCGGGAGGATGTACGAGGCATGATTAAGTAGATGCTCAAGGGACTGAGGGTCTGTTTCTGGCACAGCTGCTCCGGTTTCGAGGATTCGGACAATCAAATAGGTGAGTTCTTCCTGGGAAAGAGATAATTTGTTCCTACCCAGAAGTGCACGTAAAAGGCCCAACCGGGTCAAAACAAATTTGAGTGGATCTCCGGGACCGCTGACCGTGCCAGCATCGGCTTTGAGAGAATTTATGAGTCCTTCCATGACGGAATAAACCACTTCTTTGGTGATTGTCCGTTCCCCCATTCCTAGGAAAGGACGATCTGAACGATAAGAAAAGGGTTCGTCTGATAATACTCCGCACTCTTCCCAAGTGTCATACCGGTCCATTTTCAATGGATCGATTGGTCCTTTAGATCGATGCAGCGCAGCCCAACTCTGTATATTCCACGCTTTTGAACGACCACGAGACATTTGTAGTATCCAACTGGCCTCTGCTGCATAGCCTCCTTCAACACAGCACCAAAGGATAAATTCAAGCCATATACCAAAACCAAGCGGTCTTGATTTGAATCTTGACCACGGTGCATGGGGTGTAGAATCTGACTCGTCGACGGCATTATCTGTTGCCGCAGCCTCCAACGCTACACCAGACACTACACTCATTATAGGATAGGATAGTAGCTGCATCTCTGGAGGCCGGTTTGGTAGAGTGGGATCGTAGTTTGAGTCATATTTGTATACTCCAGAAGGTATCATGTCAAGATGATGCAGCTGGGCAACAACAAGGTGGAAATGTGACATAACTGAAGCGCTCTCCGCCTCGGGTAAATCTGATGCCTCAAGAATGAAGGAACCCAGGCTCTGCCAAATTTCACTCATTGCTTCGGCTCTTCTGTCTGCCTTTCCCGTCTGACGCTGAAGCATTACCCCTTCAAGGTAGTCTTTGACTGATAAAGCGTCCCTGCCATCGGTATCAACCCGCAATCCACTAAGTGAAGTGGATTTCAGCAGATCACCAGATAATCTATCAAATGAGCCCAAACTGGCCCAGTCGATATTTGAAGGTAATTCTCCTGGCCGGGCCAAGGCCCGACTCTCGCTTGCGAAATCCAGGAGTTTATTGACTATGACATAAAAATCCCGCCATCTTCCCAGTTTGAGCCCAAGTATTGTAAGGAGGTCAAACCCTAGCTGTTCTCGGGCTTGATATAAAAGCTCCAAAATCGCTTTACAATCTTCCTGCCAGCTCTTCCGGCCAATCGGTCCCGCTGCAGCAAGGCCATTATCCACATTCCGCGGGGGGATGTATATTTCTAAACTTTTTATCCATTCGGATGGATCTTTTCGCAGCCCTGCTGGAGGGATAGGGTATGGTTTGCGCTTGAAAGAGTCTTTCGATCGATGGACATAGCTGCGCCAGGTGCTGAGAGATGGAGACTGAATTATTCCCAATGAGAGTCGGTACGGCGTCAACAGCGGATAGAACACATGTCCCCGGGCTTGGAAACGGCTGTGGCCCAGGAGTATCCTTCGAGGCAGGCAAATGCTCATGACACGGCCGGGGATCGATCATGGAGGACCTTGAGGTACTGATAAAATAGCGAGTTCGAGGTTGCGTGGCGGTCGCATGTCTGGTCTGGGATATACTAGCTCAATGCCCACAGATTTGATGCCCTGCAAGCATACTGAAAAATAGGTTGACCAATTCTCTTGCGGCACTGGGCGGAGTTGTAGTTAATGTATTCCGTAGCTTGAGCTGCTTCAAAATTCTTGGAGGAAAAAGTTGGTAGAAAAACATCGCTTAGTCATCACTTACAAGGTATCCAGTCTGCAAAGGGGACACAGGCAATCAATGTGCTATTAATATATAGGTTAAATTCTTCAAATGCAGGACGATGCTCCTAAAGTATATACAGAAAATAAACACTGGGCAGAACTCCATCGGTAAGTCCTAACTATAGACAATAGACTTAATTCCAAAGATGCCCTGAAAAAAGGTACCCGGCGCCAATAGAATGCTCCAAGCCGACATCAATCATGAAACAGAAATCCAGCTAATCCAGCTAAAATCATTCATCTTGGGGGGCATCTTCCTGGCCTTCCTCGCCGAGGTCTTCCGCACCCAGTTCTTGTTCAACCTCATCTGCAACGAAGCTTTCATAATCTTCCAGCCCCTTCTGCACATGGACTTTAAACTTGATAACATCGTTCAACATGCTTTCAATTCCAGTATGAAGCTCCTCACGAAGTGCATTTGCGCGCAAAACAAGCTGTTCATGCTCAATGTTGGTATTCATTTCCCTCTGTTCCATCAGCTGAACACTTTCGCTCAGACTTGCACGCATCTTAGCCAGCTCCTTTTCCATCTTTTCAATTTGAGCGTCAGATGCTAACTTCTGGGTTGATGTTATTTCCTTTGTCCTCTCAAACTCCTCTTCTGCAGCACGACGTCGATGTTCTAGGGCCTCCACTTCGCTCTTTTTCTCGTCCATGGCCTCTTTAATATTTTCAAGGAGGTCTCTCCTGTTCATATCTTCGTCTAGTGCAATCTTTCTTCTCTCATTGATTTCTTTGCGAAGGGAAATAAGATGATTTCGAATCACACCACGAAGGTCGAGGTTGATAAGATTTGTTGGGTGATATCCCGTATTCGCATCAGCAAGTAATCGGTCACCTTCGGAGACAGCGTGGCTTTGAGACATCGCAAGTTGATCATTGATATTAAGGAAAAGTTCAAACTCGACCCCCTTGGCGTTAGCAGTGGTAGAAGGAATAAGGCCCGCTTGGTAGGCGAGAGAGTTGTATGATTTAGTAACCTGCTCCAATTCTTCAAGCTTCATGTTGGCTTCTGATTCCTTCTCCATAACTTTTGCATGAGTCTCATCGAGCCTCATCAAGGTATCCTCCACACTTCTCTGGAGCCTATCTCGCTCTGTACTCATGCGATCAATATCCTGGATTGTAATTCCTCGCTTATCGACACTTGACTGCAGATTGATTCGGTCATCCTCAGTGGTTTGGAGCTCCAGATCTATTTTCTCCAGCTCCTCCTCCAAAAATTTGATGCGGTTTTCATATTTATCAATTTTCCCTTGAACATTCTCGTTGTAGTCTTCGAACTTCTTCTTGTCATCTTCCAAAATTTTGAAGTGTTTATCCAACTTGGCAATATCAGGGGCATTCTTTTCAAGTTCTTCGAGTTGATCTCGGAGTAAACGATTTTCCTCTTCTAGTGCCTGGAGTTCTTGCACATACTTCTCATTGGCCTTCTCGAATTCTGCTGCCATAGTTTCAACGTGAGGGACTAGCCGCTGTTCTGCTACCTCGTCATCCTCATCCTCACCACCTTGCAACCAGTCATGATATGCACCGGATAGAAAGCGGAAAATTATACGATCGCCAGTCACGTCAACGCCTGCTTCTGCGCAGGCATAGTCATACTGATCCTGGTAATATCGGTCTAGCATTTGGGCCAATTGCATCATCCAGTGCAACACACCCAGGAATGTATACCAGTTGGTGCCTCCAACTGCTGCAATTTGAGATTTTGTAATATTCTTTTCATAGGGGTAGCGCAGCTGCTTTAAAATAGGCGGAACCTCGGTGTCGATGTTCTTTTGGAAGCGATAGCTTGGGTCGATCCTCTTATACAGCCATTGGAATATGTAGTTAAAGTCCTTCTGGGTCGGCGACTTCAACGTATTCTGCGTTAAAGAATGTTTCATTTCCAGCTCAAAGTTGTTGCGCGTTAGATATTCCAATATCTCCTGGCTAATGCGCGCCTGAAAACTCCTGTCCCTCAGGGGTCGAGGATCTCGAGGCACACCCGCTGGGATAGACCCCTGAACAAAGAATGATTGATAAGCAGCAGAAGGGCCCATTGATGGACGCGATAAGACGCTGCTTCGTCGTTGTAGTTGAGGCGGCGGGGGAGGCGCCATGGACATTGGCGCATAGCTTTGACGACCAGCATTTGCGCTGTGGAGGACATTATGGGACATGGAACGTCGAACGCTCGATAGGCCGCCGTCTATACCATAGTTATTACTGCTCGTGGACTGGCGATGGAAAACAGGCTGCTGCGGCCGGCTCAGCGATGAGACGAGAGAGGAGGATCTGGCATGTTGAGACGTAAACGGCGGATTCTGTAGATTTGCGGCAGTGCTAGTTCGCTTGAGCGCAGAGGATGGCTGAGGAATTGAAGTATAGTTCTGGACATTCCCCAGTGTCTATAATATCCAGATTAGTTAAAGAGCCATCCTGCGAAGGTCCATTGAAAGGGGGTGGGGGAGTAATACCTCTCGCGGCCTTCGGACACTGAAAAGCCCAGTATCCTGCGCCATGACGATGCGGCACGAGCTTGTTACTTGTGCCAAGCGGCGGCTGGAGATATGGCAAAGCGTAGCAGAGCAGAGACAGCGGCAACAACAAATGCCAGGCCCTTCTCGCAGCAGATATCTGTTTGGCGTTTGTGTCTCGTTCAAATAACAACAACATCGATAACAACCACGGCCGTCAATATCAATCAACCCTGCTTGTCCGCTTTGGGAAAAGTAAACAAAATCAAAGTCTGTGGAGTCCACGCTAGTCTGTATTTGGTATAGTCTTCAGTATCGGCACCGGAGTATCAAATAGCCGATAATCACGGGACCGCGTCCTTTGAACCTCGGCTCGACAGGCGAAAAGCAAGCTTTGGTAGAAAAGAAAGAGCGACATCTCGAGATTCCGGGGAAGAGAAAAAGACAAGCAGCGCAGACGAGGACAGGAAGCACGCCCTGCTGTTGTCCCCTCCCATATCTGCCTTTTCCAGGGGCTCTTCTCATGCTGCCGATAACCACTGCTGGATAGAGAAAGATACCGAACTTGTTACTTTGGCGACATGGCTCGAGAGGAGCTGATCACGTCGGCGGTAAGTTGGCTGTCGCATGTCCCTGATGCAAACCATCCCCAGCTAATGACATCTGTTGCGTGCTAGGTTACTTGTACGTCAGCCACCGGTCTATCCTGTTGATTGCATACTTGCATGCCTTGTACTTATCTATATCTACAGTCCTCCAGGATCCTTCTGTCTCGTCCGCGCCTCTGGAGAAGAAAGTTGCATTCCTGCAGTCCAAAAACCTGACGCAGGAAGAGATTGATATAGCCCTAACTAGAAGCGGCTCTTCTAGTCCATCTACACCTGCGTCAGAGCAACAAGGCCGTGCAGTTGTCCCGTCACCGCCGCCATACCGGGCTCCCCCAAACCAGAGCTATGGATACGGACAGGCTGGTCAATGGGGTTACGCAACTCCTCCAGAGTAAGTAGCCCGATATATATTTACTTGTAAACGTACAGCTAATATGATTCCGTATGTTAAGACTCCCAAGGCGTGATTGGAGGGATTGGTTTATCATGGCGACGGTAATGGGTGGTGTTGGTTATGGTCTCTATTTTGTTGCAAAGGTACGTTGGTCAGATATACTAGATCTGCAACAGTCCTCCCTAACTGTTCTGTTAGCGTTATATTTCACCTTTAATCGCGCCTCCCACAACACCACAGCTTCAACAAGACAAGGAAAGTGTGGATGAGCAATTTTCTCGTGCATTTTCCCTCCTAGACCAGCTTTCCGCAGATACCGCTGCCCTCAAGGCTGCTGAAGAAGCCCGAACATCTCGACTTGACACTGCGCTCCGTGACGTAGAGGAAGTCGTTCAAGAGCTCAAAGTTTCCTCCCGGAGACGTGACGATGAAACTAGGCGCATTAGTGAAGAAGTAAGGAGCTTGAAGGATGGCATTCCAAAAGCCATTGAAGGAGCTCGCGAAGGGAACGAGAAACGGCTACGGGAGCTCAACTCAGAGCTAAGGAGCTTGAAGGTTCTCCTGACAAATAGACTTGGTTCTGGCGCATCGACTCCAACGCCTAACGCTGCCACCACAACTGCCGCTACTCGACCAGACGTCAATGGCGCTGCTTCTGCCACTCAACAAACCCCGTCACCTGCTACGCCAAGCCCTGCTGCAGCCTCCGTACCAGCCTCAACTCCAGCTCCACGAGAGCGCTCCGGCAGCCCGTTTTCTCAGCTTGGGAAACCAGCAAGCATTCCAGCATGGCAGATGGCTGCTGCTAACAAAGCCAAGAGTACTGCAGCCTCTCCTTCAGTTGAAGATGCAGGTGAAGAGGCCGAAAAGGCTGAAAGCAACCAGCAGTCTGCATCTACCGCCAGTTAAATACTAGTCACCTCCAAACTCCGCATCCTCGCCTGCACCTCCCCCAATCGAACTTTCTGACTCGCTGTTTATTTGATTAATATGCGTGTTTTTCTTTCTTTTCTTTGGGAATCCTTTGGGAATAGTTGCAGTGTTTTGCTCTTGCAATGGTAGGAGAATGTTTAATGGGGTATATATATATACGTTGACACCACCTTATTTCTCTTATGTACTTTTACTTCATTCCAGTCAAGTGTATACCAGGCCTATACAGGGTAATTCAAGTGTGTCAAGATCTAATAGAGGAGTATTCGATGGTAACAACACAGGGAGAAGGAGAAAGCCATGTACATGGGCTGCGTCAGGGCCACATGGCAGACTAACCATAAGTAGTTTAGTCCTTCCCCAGCCTTAAACTTTGAAGAAGCTTAAATTTATCATATCAAGATGAACATCTCGCGATTCAAGCAGTCTAACAACTTAAACCTGGGACAGAGCTGCATCTATCCGGGGAGACAGTGTGCAGTTGGGGATTTCCATATTCAATATTATTATTATTACTACTGGCCGTCCAGATCGTTTTAATGTCACACCGCGAAACATCCATTTCCCCTCCCGATCGCCATCGCCATCGCCGTCGGCACCGTGACTATGATCGCAACAATCACTCACCCTCCATAAGGGCGGATGCTCGATCACGCTCGCCCATCAGAGAGGATAGTTATGATGGTGGTCGGAGATATCGCCGCAGCAGGCAAGAGGGCATCAGATCTCACCGACGGCAGCGGTCATCTGAAGGCCCAGCGGCGGTCCTACCACTAGGTGCTGCACCTCTTTCGAAGCGCGATTTATCACGCTACAAAGCGATGTTTGGAACATATCTGGATATCCAAAAAGGCATCTTCATGGAAGACCTTGACGATCGTGAACTGAAAGGGAGATGGAAGAGCTTTATCGGGAAATGGTAAGGAAAAATGCCTAGCATAAGCTACGCGGTATATCTTTTGATCTCTCTAGTTTCATTTATACCGTCGCTTATGAGTTCTAATAACTAACATGACTGAGGAACCGGGGTGAACTTGCAGAAGGATGGTACGACCCGGCAACGCTTAGGAAAGCGCTAGAAGGAGCATATAATCGCGGTTCCCCTGAGACTTCCGTTCACAGCCCTCGTGGGAGAAGAGCGTCTCCTTCGTATAAGAATGGTGAGGAGCGTTCTGCTGTTTCCAGTGAACGTCGCTCGCAGGATTTCAACGAGAGAAGTCTCTCAACTGAACAGGAAGGGCAAAATAAGGACCAGGGAGAGGAAGAGGAAGAGGATGAGGAGGAATCTTATGGGCCACAAATACCAACTTCGCAATGCCAACTGTCCGGCTACAGGTCTGGACCGAAAATTCCAACTCTAGCAGATCTAACCATCAAACAAGGTTCGTTAATCTGTGTTTTATCTCTATTTTCGGTCACTCTAATTAATACATTTCATGAATAACTAACGTCTCTACAGAAGATGAACAATTAGATCTCGAAGAATCCCGCAGAATCAACAAAGCCATCCGCAAACAAGAACTCAAATCTCACAAAGGCGAGCTTCGCAGGATGGAAGACGAGATTGCACCGCGAGCAGAACCGGGGTCCCGAGAACGGCTTTTAGAAAAGAAGCGAGAGAAATCAGCATCAAATCGCCAGTTTGCCGAGGCCCGCCGCGGTGGCTCACCCATTGAAGCGGTTGCAGATGCAGATCTCATGGGAGGAGGGGAAGGCGAGGACGGATTTAAGAAGCTGAAAGAAAAGCAGATGCGAAAGAAGAATGAACGTGAGCTTAGGAAGGAGGAGATTTTAAGAGCCAGGGCTGAAGAAAGAGAAATCCGACTTCGGTCATATCGACGCAAGGAGGATGAGACCATGGACTACCTCCGTGCTATTGCTCAAGAAAGATTTGGATAGCACTTTAGCTGTTATTTACCGCATCTACTCTTCGTATGCTGTACACAGCAGCATTTATAAACCCAGCGCTCATAAGAATTACAATTCAATCTCATTTCCGATAGCGCTAATTTATAAGCCCCCTTTATGACCCTCCAACTCCTGGCCGCAGCAATGAAATATCTTTTGGGCGATATATATACATGGGCATATCTATATCCTCGAGTCCCGCCTAGTTCAAATTATAACACGCATGCCAAAGATAAGACAAAGAAGCCAAAAGGCCTTGACCTGCGCCGATACTCCTTTTCATTTCATTGATTTAGTTGTGGGACAGAGCCCATTCAGGGCTGAACTCCCGCTTTCTGATAGTTCTCTCTTCCTTTTCGGTGTCTGCGACGACGGGGACGCGTTGGGTTTTTTACTACCGCCTTATTTGGGCCTGATGTGGTTGTTGTTTTGGTTTCAACAGTTTGCCAGTCACCGGAGTCCTCATCACCACCAACGCTAATGTCCCTTGCTAGATTCGAGGGTTCGCTCTTTGATAATCCCCTGCGAAGTTTGTCCTGTGCATCACACTTTGAAGTATCGAGTCCTTCGGCGGCCGTAGCATCATAATTTTCATCAAACCCCAGGGAATTGCCCCTTACATTCTCGTTCATAGTGGGATAGAACACCTTAGGTTCATCGTGGCTCGGTCTAGCATCGCCCTTTGAAGTCTGACTAGAATAATTGGTATTCGTGGTGCATTCTGCTGCAAAGTTTACTTGAAAGTTTTCCTTGTCAGGTCCAGTTTCGATGTGAAAGCTGTCATCCGTTTCTGTTTCGTAAATATCAACAGTCGACTCTGAGAATCCTTTATTTCCTTGATGTAGCCTGTTCGGATCACACTCGCTTAGTGGGAACTGTGACTGGCTCCCTCCTGGTGCTTTGTATGCCTTTGGAACGAATTCAGGTGCATCAGGTTTCCATGACCTTTCTCCGTTCGATGGGTATTGATGGCACGAGCAAGTAGTCTCTGAGAATGGGGTGCCACTATCAGATTCACTGGCTTCTAGGAATCCCTGGCGGAAACACAGGCGACGGTAGTATCCGTGATTCTGCAGCAGCTCAGTATGGGTTCCCTGTTCAACAATCTCGCCATTATTTATGACAACAATCCGGTCTGCGTTCACAATGGTGGAGAGTCGATGTCTAGAAAGCATGTTAGAGCTGGCAAAGATGAATCCAACAATGCTAGATGGCAACTTACGCGATCACAAGCGTGGTTCGACCTGCGGTGAGCTTCTTTAGACTCTCTTGAACCACTGCCTCTGTTTCGCTATCGACACTGCTCGTGGCTTCATCTAGGAGAACAATTCTGGGATTCTTCAAGATAGCCTGTGCAATGGCAACACGCTGGAGTTCTCCACCAGATAATCTCATACCTCTTTCGCCTACCAAAGTGTCATATCCGTCTGTCAGGCTCATAAATCTGTCATGAAGCGCAACTGCCTTGCAAGCTTCCATTACCTCCTCATCTGTAGCATCCAACCTCCCGTAGCGTAGGTTGTTCATAATTGAAGCATTGAAAAGTGTTGGATCTTGTGGGACCACACCAATACCCTCCCGGAGTGTTTCTAAAGAAACTCCAGAAACATCCTGACCATCGATCTCCACCTTTCCTTGGGTGGGATCGTAAAATCTAAATATCAACTTGAGTATTGTTGACTTTCCTCCACCAGTCTGTCCAACCAATGCAGTAGTACCACCTGCTTTGGCTTGAAAGTTGATGTTTCGGAGTACTCCTCTCTTTCCATCGTACGAAAAATTGACATCCGTAAATTTTATATTCCCAGTTTCAAATCTTAGAGGTTTTGCATCAGGAGAATTCTGGACAGTGGGCTTTTGGCGTAAAATTGAGAGGAACTCCTCAACATCGACCAAATCACGGGCCATCTCTCCGAATCCATTGGCGATGAATTGCAACGGGCTGGATAGCTGGGCCCAGTAACTCAGTAGCATAACAAAATTTCCAATCGGTTTCTCTCCCGTGGAAACATGATGTGCTGCCATGAAACAAGCAGCGGTAAGTCCGCATATTAGCAGGGCTGATTGGGATGCATTCTCCATATGATCCCAAAATCGAAATTTGAACCTGGCTTTCAGTTGGGCCTGTACTAGCGACAAGTATCGGGATATCTCATAGGGAACTCGACTGAAATAGGAAACAGTGCGCCAGTTCTCCGTCGATTCACATAGAGCAGTAAATTCTGCTCCCCGGGCCTCGTTCCACTCTCGCCGCTTATCCTTCTGTTTCGCGACGAGTTTGCTAGACGACCATAGGAAGAGAACCATCACTGTCGCAACATCAAGTGCCATATAGCCATCGAAGACGTAGTAAAGCACGCCAACGGCCAACACGAGATCTATGATCATTGGAGCGACGAGAAAGAGAATACTGTGTATGACATCTTTAACAGACTGTCCTCGGATAACTGCGGTCCATAGCCGGCCGGAGTGTTTGTTGTCATGGAAGTCACAAGATAATGACATGACATGATTGAACGCTGTTGTACTCAGTTTCAGGTACGAGAAATCGTCAACTGGCATACACATAAACCTTCTCAGCGCAGGTAACCCTCCGCTGGAGTCGAGAAGACGGAGTGCAGCAAATATTAAAATTTGTTCCCAGGGTAAGCGGCCACCTAAAGGGAGGTATGTTAATAACAATGGATTATATGAAGAACGAGTTTTCTTTCTTTGTTTGTTTTTTTTACCTTGAGATTTGCTGAGGATATCGGTTATCAGCCCTAGTTGAATAGGAATCAAAAGGTTGATTCCCCTCTCAGCTATCAGACAGAGGATCATTCCTCCGAAAAGGAGCTGAAGTCGTGGTCTCCCTGAAGGCCAGAAGAACGGCGCAAGCTCCTATAAACAGTTAGTTTGGTTATGCATAAAAATAATGGTAAGTCATCCAATTTTACCCGTAAGTCCTTCATCGATGACCAGATGCCTCCTCTTTTCTCATCGTTCGCACTATCATCAGCGTCTATTTTTGGCTTGGAGTCCTTTGGCTTGTCTTTAGATGACTGGTTGTTTGAAATATCCGAGTCACACGACCCATATGCGGACCCGTTAACACGGGCACCAGTGGCACCCGGGTCCGCAATGAGCGACTGCTCATGTGCAAGTAAAGGCGAATTTTCCTCATCGAGCTTTGCCTGCTTGCCTGGGAAGACTCGGGGACCAAAGGCAGCACAAATAAGCAGTGAAAGGGTGATGATTCTCAGGGTTTGACATAGAATGCTGATAATGTTTGCTCGAGCATAAATATTTGCAGGGCACAGAAGCAGGGAGATCTCTGACACGAGATATATGATCCATTGGCCGTAGAAAGGGTATGACACCGGCTGTGGTGGTTTGTCCGCGTACAGCAATATCGTCGTGAACCAGAGAAGCCCTGACGACAATTCGGACAGCTACAAGAACAGTAAGTCACCTTTTGGACACTCTCTATGGCTTTGCATGAACCTATGTCGAAAAAAAAAAAGAAAAGAAACCTACAATTTGGCCCTTTGCAAAGGCAGCCCCGTCACCTTCAATGGTGGAAGAGAGATTGTTTACCGCGTCCACGATCTGTTCAGCAGAGACAAACGATGGTAAGCAAATCTGACCATATAACCAGCCATGGATCGACGGCAGCCCGGGAGATAAACTCCTGTCCATAGGTTAAACAGACAGACTTACATAAGTCAGGAAGACGGTCGATATCAAAAACCCGATCACAACATTGGAACGGCGAGACGAGCCGGTACTATTTTTCTCGCTACCAGGAGCAAAGACAATTGTTATGAAATATGCACCGAAGAAGTAGACGGCCGCCAGCAACGGCAGCGTATCTTGCACAAGCTTAGCAAAATACATCCCGTCCAGCGTCGACGCACCGCCGTAGCCCTCCTCCATGATGGTGATGGCCTTCGAAGCCCTGAGCTCTAGTTAGGTGCAGCAGCCAGCGGGTCGAAAAAAAGATAGAACTACTTTTGCTCTTGGCGAAGATGAATCCGAAACGGCCCACCTGGAGGCGTGGGATCATGGATGGGCTTGGGTGAGGGCCGAAATCCCTCCTGGACAAAAGACGGGAGTCTTTTTTTTCTTTGGCTCCCCTTTGCTCAGTCTCGGGGTAGTTTTTTTTTTTTTTTTTTTTTTTTCCTTCTTTCTCTCTCTCTCTCAAGGCTATATTTGCTCTTCTCACAAGCGGTTGCGGCCTGCTGGTTATAGCGGTAAGGCCTAGTTCGGGCTAAGGCGACTAAAGCATGCGGCTAAAAGCATGTGTGCGTGTCTACCTCCAGGATGGTGTACTCCATACGGGGGGATGTGAAGGGAAGGGCAGGCAGCAGACAACCCTGGACAACAAAGAGCGGTGATAGAAAGCAAAAGAAAAGAACAAGCCCCTGGTGAGGCGAAGGAGAAGAAGAAACGAGGCGGCAACCGGACACGCGCTACAGGGTTGACATCAGAGGTCAGGGGGAGGGAAGAAAAACCAAGCGGACAGGGGGATGTCGACGAGAAGTGCAGGGAGGAAGACGATGGGGAAGAGAAGAAGAAGAAGCAGAAGAAGAAGAAGAAGATATTACATGGAACTCAGTGGTTGATGTTGATGTTGACGTTGCTGAAGTTGTTATGTTGGTTTGCGCGCGGGAAGGAACCAAGTTAATATAGCCGATTTACTTGGTAGGCGCTTCGGGAGGAAGCGAAGGCGTTGTTTTCGTCCCTTAAGAGTTGACCGTCCGAGGAAAGCCTCAGGGATGACCCGAAAGGGAAAAGGAAGATGAAGAAGAAGAAGAAGAGCAGAAAAGGACGGGAAGACGGCGGCTTCCGTTTGTCTCTGCTGTTTGCGACTCAAGCCGGGTTATATTTTATAACTGCATCCCATGAACAAAAATAGATGCGGCTCGGGTGCCTGGGCAGCGACCCAAGCGCTGGGTCTAGCTGAAGTACTTCCTTGGTGAAGTTGCACCTTGATGGAGAAGCTCTCGGAGGCATAATAGCGAGTGACCAGAGAGCCTTGGAGATGGCGATTGAAGGAGAAACAGTAGAGACCCCTGGCTACCTGGGTGGCGGCAGGTACAAGGGGAAGAAGGGAGTAGAGTTGACCAGTTGCTGCCTGTCCTCATCTTCGCCTGTGCTCTTCGCCGCAAGCCAGAGTTGTTTGCTCTGTAAATAGTTATCTAGATCGGTGAGATACTCTGTATATCCCACATGAACACGGCAACTCTGGGCCAACAACACATGCTCCCCTTTCTTCCGGAACAGCTTGCTTGCACCTAGTAGTGGTGGAGACCTGTCATAGCACAAACGCCAGGCTTGATATTATGCCAATTAACACAAGCTAGCGTGCTCGTCCTCTTCGCGGATCGACTTTTTGACTCCATGGTGCAAGAGTTTGAATAGACTGCCGAAGCCGTCAGGCAGAGTTCTAGAGCGGAGCAAAGGCTGAGAGAAGAACAATGCTCCCTCGATGTTTTATCCATTGATAGGCGCCTCGACAGACTGTCCAGCCCTTTGAGACATGGAGGTCGCACCCAATCGGCGATCCCTGAAAAGTTGCTGGGAAGCAAGAAGGGGACTGACTTGCTTGTCTTGTCTCCAGAGTTGCGCGCGTCCCCTCCTTCCCAGGGAAGACAGCCAGGCCCCTTGTCCACCAGTGTGATCAAGAGAAAGGAGGGTACTATCCCTGCTCTTCGTTATACTTTTTCTCGTTTTTTTTTTGACCATCAATCCATGTCCCATCCTGTAACTAGTTATGGCTTCGTGACCTTTTCGTGTCCATTTTTTTCATTTGTAAAATATTTAATGAAAAAAGGGCAGCACTTAAGCTAGCCGTCGGGCGTCGCTTCGTGGAAGGGGAAATCGCCACAGATAAGAACACCCGCATTTGAAGGAGCTGCTGTTGGAGCAGCAAGCATATTATTGATTGAAAGGTAAAAATAAAAAGGAGAGTCAGGTCTTCGGAAGGCTTGTCGTCTCGTATTTAGCTGCAAGCCAGTGTGACACGATAGATTGGCTCATGCTTCGGTGGGAATAAATTGTGCATCTGTATCAACCTGTGGGGGAGACGAACAACGACGACGATGGGACCGATGCTCGCTCCTGTGCATATTTCTCTACGTCCGTCTTTTTGCAGTGGCCAATCGGCAGCTCAAGAGCGGGCGTGTTGAAGACGCTGGCAGAGGGCATTTTAAAGGACGAGGCAGCGTGGTTTGAGTGGCCGCAGGCAGGGGGAGCATCCCGTTTGGCAGACCTACTTACATTCATACCTGTGGGACGTACGGAGTATGTACTCCGTAGCTATATTCCCCAGCAGCATCTAGTTAAAATCTCATACACACAGACGTGTCCGCTCGGGATAGTTGAATCGTCATCGTCATCCAAGAGTCTCCGCCGCAGATCTTCCTAAAAGTTGGATCTTTGGCCGAAGAGTAACGCTAGTTGGTCGATTTGCAGGTCGATTTGCAGACTTAAACATTAGCATGTCAACTTAAGAAAAGGGATGAGAAGTAAAATTACCACCCGGGGGATGATTTGGACAGCGGTTGGCTTACGCTTTTTACCACTCTTTCATGTATGGAGTTAAACGGTTTCGCCTCCCCTCAAGCTACCAACGCTCAATTCCACCGGGCTGGGACAAAGAGACCGAGAGGAAGCGTGATGGGAGTGGCCTCCACGGTCAGATGCCAGGGAGCTCCAGCTCAGTGCCAAAATACTTTTACAGGGATTGAGATTAAACAGGAGTCTTGCCCAACGTTTCTAGCAATCAACTGACTTGCCAGCAGGGACGGCGGTCCGCTTCTTTTTCTTGCTCTTGCTTTCTTTCGCATATCAATATTACTGCACACGTTTAATAATAACCAATGCCATGATACCCCTGCCTTTATAGGCGACACCAATTCCAAAAGCGATCCAAGCGTTACAGTCGTGTATTTGCCGGGCCAAGTGATGGTATTGGTTGCCGGCGTACGAGGCATGAACAGGCTAAGTTAGTTCGTTCATTATGGAACAGCCAACCATAAAATATAGTTCCATCGCAACGGGGCCGGCAAGCCAACAAACACTTCCAGAGTGACACATATTTGTTGGCAACCGGGATACAAATCTGCACGATGCACGATGCGATGTATCTAGGAGAAATAGGAGAGAATCACCTTCCAAGATATGAAGAGAGTTCTCCACAGACACCCAATGACCATCGAAACGGGGGGAGCTGCTGACAACAAACGCTCCGACAAACTCATTTGATTCCCAGGTTGAGGTCGGCCACCAATCGGAATCGAGGTTTGGCCTGCTCGTCTGCTGGATTGCCTTTCTCAGCAGTAGGGAAGAAGAAGGGCTTCACTGCAATCTTGACTACCTCGTCAAACAGTTTCCCGATAACCTCGCATTTTAGCTCATCTCCCGTCTGCCGAAAGTCGGGAAAGGCGTTTAGTTCGAGTAGCCATGCGTTGCCTGTTTCATCGACTAGGTAGTCGACCCCAAATATTTCGAATGCGTTAGGTAGCGGTTGGAAATGAACCATCATACCGCGAGCAGCTGCCTCGAATACTTCACCCGTGACCACGCAGATCTGGTCGTATACGCGGTCCTTCCATCCTGTTTCCACCGAGGCACCCTTGTCATCTAGTTTCCAGAAACGCTGAACATTCTCAGGAGCCGCGTCTTGCCCAGTAGAATCGGATTGAAGACAGGTATTGGTGAGGTGGCGACTAAGATAGCTGAGTTCGTCCTCGTCAGTCTCTCCCTTTTCCCACGGAAGAACATATGATTTATCTGCAAAGAGAGCAAGCATTTCTCGATACACATAGACTTTCAGGGAGCCAACTGCCAAAACATAAACTCGGATATGGAACTTTCGATTTGCGGCTGACGGTAGTAGGAGGGGCCGCAGGATATAGGGCTGTGCAACAAAATGCCGTAGTTGAGACGTAACAACCCCAGTGTCTGTTTTGTCATTCAGATCACCATCCGGTTCTTTGCTTATGCCTCCCTCTGAGTCTGTGTCCTCGGGTTCCCATTCTTCAAATATCTTCTGGAGAGACATTTCACTGTTGAAGAGACGGATCCCTTGTGCACGATCACTCATGCTCGGTTTCAGTATCCACCACTCCTTTTCACAGTCTTCCTTTTCCTCATTAGCCTCTAGACTCTCACGTAGCTCGTAAGCTTCAAGCAGGGCCTCATCCAGAAACTCCGCATAGTCTAATTCAAAGTCTATTGTAGGTTTAAAATGCTTCTGAAGCACACTATCGGGGTATTTCGTTATCCAATTGGCGATAGTATTAGAAAGGAAGTGTTTGCGAATCAACGCCTTTCGGATGATGTAAGAGTTTACCAGTGACGTCGATGGATGCAAGTGAACATGCTCAAAGTCGGATTTTTCATATACCCTGTATTGGAGGACTGGAGAATCAGGGTCAGGTAGCTCGGATATAGAAGATATCATTCTGTAAGGAATGTTCTTGAACTGCTTCTGTATAGCCCCCATTACAAGGGGTTGTACATAGGCGTCTTGACAATCCACAAGGGCATAAAATGTCAGAGTCTCATTCAACCTGTGTAAAAGGAAACAATCCAGTTCAGTCAGGACACATCTTTTGTGGAAGTATAGCAATAACAATCAATATATAAAAAGAGAGAGAGAGAGAGAGAGAGAGAGAGAGAGAGAGAGAGAGAGAGAGAAGAAACAAAGAAAAAGTCAATGGTATAGTATACCATGAAGATACACGGGTGAGTTGGTGAATTGGTAAGCTTGCAGAGTATACGTGCTATTTCATATCAAGTACCCCAACATTCCAATTCGTCACTCACAGCGTTATTTCACCGGAACAGCCCGGCCAATGCATGAAATTTGCCTTCAACGGAGTGACGCTGTGAAAAGAGAATAGTATCAGTGTTCTGCCATTCTATAATTTCTCATGACATTGGTAAGACAATCTTCCAAAACAAACGTACCTTGTAAAACCAGACCTGACAGCCCAGCCATCATTTCCCGGCGGGCTGGTCTGCTCACTCTTATAGACATCTCCAAATTTCGGAGCCCATTTAAAGTGTTTGTGTTGGAACCTCGTGGAAGAGGTGCCAGAGGTATCTCCATTTAGGGTACTCCCTTCTTCCTTTTGTCTAAGCAGATGTTCCTGCAGGCCGGGATCCTCACCACTTAATTCGGCATCAATTGCTTCGAAACAACTTCCCGACCAACGATTGTCTAAAATGTTCGTGTATAAAATCTTCGATTTGCTTATCCCTTGTTCAAGGGGCACGTTGATGCTGTAGAGGTCAACCCCACTGGTCCAGTTCTTGTAAAGGTGCTCTATTAACCGAACCGAGTGATTCGAGGCTTCTGATATAACGACTGGGTCATGATCGCGTGAGCTGAAAGCGAATGATAGAGCAATTGCTTTGTATCCACAAACTGCAGCCTCCATCGCTCCGCCGATGGTGCCACTGGAGAGAGAGAAGACTGCGGTGGAATTCCTTCCATAGTTTGGTCCAGAAATAACCAAATCTACCGGTCCGCGGTCTTGAAAGTAGTGGAATAAGCCGATTTGAACGCAGCTTGCGGGTGTCGAGTCAATGAGAATCCATTCGTCGCCCTCACTGCTTTCTCCTTCTTCACTGCGTGGTAGCGAGTGTATTGTGCCATCGTCTTGGAAAAGGGTCCCTGGGTGAAAGTACGTCGGTTTGACGGTAGCTCCAACCAGGTGAGCTTTGCCAATCCATGATCTCTGCCGATGCGGTAGGACGACAGATACTACATGGCCGGAGGACTGGAGGGTATGGATAAGAGAATGTATGTACGGCGAGGATTGAGACGAAGGCGGACCGTCGTCGTTAACGACCTTGTTTGGCCATACGTTAGTTCACCACCACCTACTTGAACAATACCCGGAAAAAAGCACCGGGAACGACTGCAGGATAGACTGTGGCGGGAATAACTTACAAGGATGTGCATCTTGCAGGCTGCGAACCGTAGTTAGGAGGCTGGCTGTTGTCGAAAGGTCATTTCTTATTTCAATGATGGAAGTTCGCCCCGCGAAATAGTTAGTTAACTAACTACCTGTGGGGGTTTTAACTAGTGGTTATTTCTCCCATGTGCCAAACCCGGCATAACTAATAGTTACCATCAACCTGGACATCTTTATATCTCGTCTTTTTTACTGGTAGATCCGGGGACTATATGACTATAAAACAGGGGCGAGTAAGACTATTACGGCTCTTATTAGTTATTATTAATTATATCTCCCAGCGGTATGGAACCGATCTTCCCCACGGCTGAGGGAGGGCAACGATCACGGCTAGATCCCGCTCAACTCGCTTCCTTGATCTTCATCTGGCCCGTTATCCTCGTTTGAGCCATATGCTGACGGCTCATCCTCTTCCTCAGCCTTGATATCGGGAGACAGCCTTGCGGCAACACCCTCTTGCATAGCTGTAGATGGCTCTGAGCTGTCTTTAAACCCATCGTCGGAGTCGACATCCTCCTCTTTCTTAACGACCATCCTCTCATTCCCCGAAGACCGGCTTGAGAGGGCAAGCCAGACTCCAGTGGCAACTGATGTAGAAATGAGCCAAAACATAGAACCAAAGGTCAGGAACGAGAGAGTTCTCCAGTTATACATAATCCACCTATGTATTTTGAGGTTAGCAAGAAGTCCCAATATCAAATGGCATCACAAGTAAGCCCCTAGAACCGACAGATACAATCTCGGAGCATGCATACCGTAGGCCAGTAAATCTCGCGTCTATTCTCACTCTTGCTTTATACACTTGAATCCGTTCGTTGCTTTGAATCTCTAGCCTGAGACCCCTTGGTACTTGTCCTTTTCCTTTGTGGAACTGAACCCGTTCCATCATTCCAATACTAAGCACCTCTGCTTCTCGTTTTAGCCCGAGAATATAGAGTGGAAGTCTCCATAGCTGTCGAGCTGTATCTACCATGGGAGATGTGTAGGTCAGCATGGCCGAGCGGCGTGATCGCAGCAGCACGTTCTCAGATGCATTTGCAATGGATCCAGCTAAATCATCAGGCTCTCTGAGAAAGGCAAGATCAAGCATAAAATTACCTGCAGCACGATTGGCAGGAGTAGAAGGGAGCTGTAATATCACCTTGACGTCGTACTTTTGAAGTGGAACCATGCGTGACCCCAAAACCGCCGTACCATATGGAAAGCTCGTACTGTATAGTCTTGTTATTTTGGATTCTAGACACAAACAGCTTCGTCATGGACCAAGCTATCCATTTTCTTGTATCCGACTTACTCATATTGAAGGTGGATTTGCCGTTCAAGGCTAATTTGGGGTACATAGTTGTAGTAAAACACCCAGTATGCTATGGTAGATATACCAAATAGAGCAAAGGTGGCACAGGTGAAGAGAAATACGCTTATATATGACCGTTGAGCGGACTTCGACGTAGCAGCCTGGATGGGCCGTAGTATAATGGACTGCCTGGAGATCAATAACGGGTATAAGAAACTGGGCATTGTAGGGTATTCGTACCGAGACCCCTTGCTCTTGTTGGACATTCGCCATTGTTTCCAAGTCTTAGTTGGGGGTTATCCTCATCACAACTTGCCACTGAGCATTGCAAAAATTGGAAAACTAGAAATCTGAACCTGGAAGATCCCTCTGCCTGAAGTCAAGTGTTGCAATTTTGCATCTATGTTATGGGATGAGATGATCGTATGTCGATGTTGACGTTTGTTGCTAAAACCAGGGAAGACGAGACAGATCTAGTACTACCTATCACGTGCAAATATCAAGATCTAGAGTAACGTAGGAGAAGAATGTCTGCAGATAATCGAATTCAGCTCTTGCAAGTGTTTATTATGACCTAGTGTAATACTAACAAAGCTTTGCCCCCAGCGATGATTGAGAGTCCCGTTGCTTATTTCTCTCTTGTTTGTGCATACGAATTTTGTCCTGCATGGCTAGAATTAAGAAACGTCGGGTGCACAAAATGAGTATGAAGATAAACAGCTGAATAGATAGTAAACAGAAGCAAAACAAAACACCTATTTTTTAAGATTACATAGGACCTTGACGAATAAACAACCCCCAGATCATGCATGCATGCCGTCCAAAACAAAGTAGCGAACCATGAAACCCATCCGAGCGGTATCTAAAGAAATTTGTAAAAGGGAGAGGAAGGTACATATGCGCATGTGAAGGCTTGAAAAGATTAAGATAAGCGTATGGAGTCGGGGTATGTTTGTTCATCGTCATAGTCATCATCAAGGTCACAGCCAGTGACTAGTTCCAAGGAAGAATCCGTCGTATGGATTTCGTCTCATATACTTTTTTTTCACTTCAACTATTTGGTAGAAGAGAATTTAACTTAGAGTGCGGGGGCTTTGCTGTTGAATGTGCTGCAGAAGAGCATCGAACAGACGACCAATCTAGAAGACACATGTTAGCATCATGCTATATGAGTCGGGTAGTTAACTATAGGACCTCCATACCTCAGGCGCCGCTTGAATAAAAGGCAAGCGGAAGAATGAGTAATTGCCATTCTGCAACAGCTCTTGGAGTGTAATGATAAGACCCCAAGGGTGAGGTCGATGGACAATCAATCGCTCTAGCAATACACGGATGATCTGCTCGCGAATATGAGTTTCATGCTGAGCCGCAGTCTCTGAGCCGAAGATGTTGAGTATGGCGAAGCTAAAGAAATGGGTGTGGCTGTTCGGATATCGTAGTTGATTTACAATGGCACTAAGGAGATAATACCGGGCCTCTGGTCGTAGCATGTTCACTAACTTCTCCAGGAACCCAAGAGCGGGGGAGTTGCTGAAAGAAGCTGTGCCAGGCTTCTGAGCTGATGAAGAGACGGCACTCTGACCAATGTACAGAACAAGTGCCTCCAAAAGAACCGTATTAACGTTGATTGGGTTAAAGAATAGCCCGGTGTCTCTTGCCGGGGGATTATAAATGATCTCCGATATTTGTTGAATAGCAGCATCAGCAGTGTTGAAATTCCGTAATGCATTGTCCACCGGTGCCTTGATCATTGCATCCTGGAGTGGTGTGATGATGTCGGCGGTGATTTTTGGTGCTTTGCTCATTTCCTCCAATCGATCAACCTTCAAGCCGTCACGGAACGGATCAGGTAATTTTTGGAATGACGATGGATAAGCGCTCAACACGAGGTTTCGAAGTTGGCTACAGTGGGTGGGTATAACAGTGCAGAATTGGAAATGATTTTCGGCAACGAACTCCGGGAAATCATGGTGCAAAATCAAAAGAATTCGAAGCACTCCTTTGTAGATATCCTTGGCCACATAGGTCACAGATGCGGATTTAAGCTGCTCGCCGATATATGACAGCAGCACTTGCATTATTTCACAAAACGGTTCCCAGCCCTATGGATACAATTAGTAAAATCATTTCAAGATAATATGGATAGCGAAAGGTATGTACTCACCACCTGATCATCCAAGGTAAGCATCTCAGCCATAAACACGCGGTGAGAAATAAGCGATAGCCATCCGTAGATGAATCCTGGTATGTGTTTAGGCTGGAGTGACAAGAACTTGTCTGCAAAAGCCAGCATCATGCCCTTGTGCTGGTCTGTCTGTGCAAGGCCACTGGCAGCATACTCGCAAAGAATGCTCGAAAAGAGTCTGAAAAATACTCGCTGGTTGAAGCTATCACCTCGCATGACTTGATGGTGATTGAGAACCAAAACCAACAGAGAGAGGATAGAATTCAAGTATGCCGACTTGCTAGCCTTGACCGCACCGTCAGCATCGCCTTGGAATTTCACCAATAGTATAACCAGCTTGGCGAGAGCGTCGATATACAAGAATGCCTCATCGATGTTTCCACTGACGTTTTGATACTCGTGCTCGAACATGGCAACGGATATATCAATGCTGAGCCTGAAAAACAAGGCTGAGTCTTCCTGTGTGTTCATGACCTGTCTGTGGTGCATATCTTTCAAGAAGGCACTATACATCCTGTCGTTGGATCCGGGGAACTTGTATACGCCAATCCACTCACTGAAGATATACTCCATCTGATCTCTCTTTGATCGAGCCAAGTCGCTCAAAAGAGTGTTGGCTGATTCTGGAATACCAGACTCTCGAAGGGTCTGGATGATCTCACGAGCAAGGGGAAGATCAGGTTCTTCGACAACCCATTGGTTCAGCGCATCCAGACTCCCAGAAAAGTCAGATCGTAGTGCTGATGGTTCATCATTCAGTAAAACGCGGTTCATCAATGCAGATAGTAACTCCAATGCGGCGTGGCTCTTGTCCTTGATCAGTTTGGCAATATTCATGTCAATTCGATGAAGATCCATCAATCCAGCGTCGATAAGGGCAACCGTGACTGGGACATTGAACATCTGCCCATCATCAACCTCAGCGAGGACTGCCCATACATATCTTGCCACCAGCGATGAGAGTTCACATATCTTGGTCAACAGATGAACGAGAACTTCTATTTCAAGGTTTTTCTCGGTTTGAGTGTAAAGGGCATTACAGATTTTCATAGCAGCCAATCTTGCCAACTCTTCGCCATTCTGGGATGAGAGAATAGCTCTGAGGACCTGATTATATGAATGGAGGATAGGGCTATCCCTTGCAATGTCCTTGATATGTTCATCCTTCTCGGATCGGGTGGTGTGCTGAAGCTCAACAACAAGCCCGTCAATCTTCTCGCGTGGAGTAGACGCTTCCAAAAAGCCGTTGATCTGTGGTTGGGTGCCAGCAAGCGCCTGTTGTTGAACATCTGCATCCTGTGGACCTCGGCTAGCGGGGTGAGGAATCGCGGATTGGTCCGCTGGGGTGCTTAAGTTAGGCATGCCTGGGAAAGCTTCTTGAAGAACGTCTGGTATTTGTTTACCCGAGTCTGTCGATGCATGCTGGATATGTGTTGGGCCTGCTCCACGCGACTGGCGGGCGAACTCTTCGTATATGGCTAGTTGCTCTTTGTTTAATCCTCCAGGAACCTGTCTGTATGGTTCCGGAATAAACAAAGCCCATCGGCTCATAGAAGGATCAATGAATGCTTCATTGGGTCGCGCGATACGATGGCGCCTACGGGCCTCAAGTTGTGATTCAATAACCTTTTCGATCTCTGGGAGAGACTTTTCCTCAGCTGCCTTTTCAACAATACCGCAAGCAGCATCCAGATTGTCGTTCACGCACATAAGGATAAGACCCTCTGGCATCGGTTGATCCGAGTACTCTTGCTGGATCATACGGATGTAGTTCGTCATGCTCATTTTCAGGGGTTCCTTGCAAGTAACGAGAGCAAGGCTACCAGCAAGAGCACGAACCATAGTCCCTGCTGCCTGGCGAACTTTTTCCTCATCTGGCTCCATGGCAAAATCCTTCAAGATTAACTGAGCAGCTGAGATGGAGGCGATGGTTATCGAGCGCTCAACGACTGGTGCAATAATTTCGGCAATTGCACGTTCAACAGCACCGTGAACAATTTGTTTTAGAGTGTTGGGATCGGCAGATGGCGGGAAGACAAGAATTTGGTCGAGCTTAGGGAGGTTTGAGATAATGGAAGGAGATATTCGATCGGCTCGGATGCCACGGTTCATGCCAGTGAGCGACATATCATCGAATGCCTCTAATCCTTCTGGGAGACAAGCGACGGGTAATCCTTCATGGAGCTGAGCTGGGCGTTCTCTAATGCATGTCGACGGTTCGATTGTCTTGTGGTCAAGTTCCAAGTCTCCACAGAGTACTTCGATTTCGAACTTAAGGATCATCTTCAATTCAGCGAAGTGGTAAATTTCAATCAATAGTGCAATGATGTCCATCAACCACGGGTTTGGAGGTTTGAAAATTGATGATTTCATGGCTTGACTCAGGACCTTGCAGGTGAACGGAATGGCGACGGTAAGGCGTTGACTATCGAATGCTTCTATAAGCAGCTCCTTGAAGTAGATATTCTTGTGCTTAATGGGCTTGTCTTTCGCAATTGTCAGAGAGCCTAGCCAGCCACCAAGATTCTTTAGATGAGTGCGGTCAATCGTAGAATTCATTGTCGATTCCGCATTGAGTAGCCTGATAGAGCTGACGTAGGTTTCCCTAAGCACTTCTGCCCATAACGTCTTGTCATCGATAAGTTCCAAAAGGTCTAGGTATAGTTGCTGGAAATTTGGTTGTAGCTTTGCTCGCTCCTCCACGAGATACGAAGCAAACCATTGATGATGCTCATCCTTCAAGCTCTCTCGAAGATCTTGAAGTTTCGACTTGATGTTTTGCTCTGAAACGTTGTTCAGGATGAAAAGGATCTTGTCGTGAGTGTCTTCATCTGGCTCCTTATAGATATCTGGCCGAAGTGGGGGTCCTACGTGTAGAGACTGGAATTTGCGGGGCGATCCTTCGTTGACAAGTTCGTTAACACTGCCATTAGCGAGGGACAATCCATCAGTTACGCCGTTAGCTTCCGTTCCATCAACACCATTGATCGGATGGTGACCTTGTTCACGAAGGACTTCCTCTGCTTTGCGGTGGATATTAGAACCCTGAAGGCTAGGTATCTGAAGTAGGAGGCTGCAAAA